CAGCATGAAATACCATTTGGTAATGGAAATAGACTGCGAGGGGCAAATTCATGCCCAAGTTGCCAGAATGTTGGTTTACCTTTGACACTTCAACGTTGTATGTGACGGTTCATGGCACATGCCAAGACGTTACCCCAAAAGCGTTGGAATCCCATGCTCTTCATAAATGAATTTCTACTCACTATTCTGATGAGATGGCCGTCAACGTGTATACTGGCGTCGAGGAGAGCGTCTTGCAGGCGCTTTTGTTTTGGAGCAAGACAGATTTTGGGGTGGATCGGTCATGGTTCGGGAAGGAATTTCCAATTTTTAAAGACATAATTGACCATTAAAACGGGAATTTTAAAGGCTGTACGCTATCGAAATGAAATCCTGAGGTCTTATGTTATGTCATTCATTTTAATGCATCATTTGACCTTTCAGCCTGACAATGCCAGGCCACACGTTGCAAGAGTTTGTAGGAATTTTCTTGCAACCCAGAACACCGCTCCTATGGATTCGCCTCCATACAGTCCCGGTTTGCCCCCAATGGAATATTTGTGGAATTAATTTGACAGAAGAGTTCGGAATACAAATAACCTCCGCCAGTTGAAATAACATTCCCATATGGTCGGTGAATGTCCGTATGAACTCCATGCCACGGACAATTAGAGACGTTTTAGCTGTTCGGAGAGGCACATAGGATAATAGGGATCGGTCTGACAACTGCTGTTATCTTAACTTTGTGTACATCAGTGTTCCCTTATTCATGGAGGCCTAATCAAGTCCTTATTTATTAAAATCCAGAAAATTTGAAGACGGATGATCCAATATTCGCAGTTAACTATTGAATTTCAATGTTAGGCATATTGCTCATAAATATCATTTCATCAAACCGTAAAGTTGAAAATGAGTTTCTTTTATTCTTAGTATATACCACATATATCATTGACTGGAAACAAAGATGTTGTCATTTAATGCTTATTAATCAAAATCAAAATAAGCAAACATTAGGTCTTTTTTGTATCCTAGCATTTGTTATACTTACGAGTTTTGTCGTGAATGGGAACACGATTAATCCCGCATTGCGTCTGGCTATGCTGAAACCTAAGGCAGCGCTTCTCGTTGTTGTAGGGATAAGTTCTGTCGACCATAGAAAGATAACGCACATCAATAATGTGATTACTGTTCTCCCTTTCGTTGTCACGGTGAATGAAGTGGTTACCTCTAAAGATGAAAAAGCATTTGTTCAACATAGAGTACTTTCCGATTACTTACATTTCAAACGTGCACGATTATTTGCAAGAACAATTAAATATTGAAAACATCAACAAAAAGAGACACAAAGAAATAAAAAAAAAATGTCAGCTTCAAAGAACCTAACTACTTTAAACGTCTGAGCAGCGATTGCATAAATGACATTGTGAGTGAAAAACAAACAACGGCCCATTCCTTCGATATGGTCTATATTTTGAAACAGAAACAATTTCTTATAACATGTATCCAAATGACCTCCTTGGCAATTGACTCCAGGATACTTCAGACCAAATTTTGTCCAAACCGCGAACAATACTACAGAAGTAGGATTTTAATGAATCTGGTCCGTTTCTTCTCTTGGGCCATTCCCCTCAAGTTACAGGGGTCGAGACCTACAATTTATACAAAATTGCTTCCCCTTTGCCAAGGAATGTTTCAGACTAAATTCGGAACAGAATTCAAACATTCCTACAGAAGAAGGGTTTTAAAGAATTAAATACCATTTATACAAAATGTATTCCCTTGCAACTAAACTTTTTGGCAAATCCAATTATTCTTAAGGAGGAGTATGATTTTTTAAAACTTCGAAAATTTCCCTTTTTTGGCCCATCCCTCAGGCCCCTGAAAGCCAAGACCTCCCATTTATGCAAAATTCGTTTCCCTCAAGAATTTTCATGCCATATTCGGTCACAATCCGCCTAGTCGTTTATGACGAACGATTCGTAGATAAAAGGTGACGGAACTCAAACTGACTTCAATCAACTGGGAAAACAGTATGACAGATTTAAACGAATGCCTTTAAATAAGTACAAGAAGAATAAGACATGAAGGTGGAGAGTCTTCTGTTCATCGACGAAACACGCCATGGTAATATTGATCAATCCCGGAAAGTAATGTCAAGTTTCAACTCAGTAAGAGGTCGATAACATGAATTGTAAAGTGTGGACTTGGTATCAGGATAAGAAATGCATACTTGTGTTTGTGTTCTTTTCAGAATGATACTTTATAATGCCGGAAATATAACGAAGTACAGTGATATGCATATCATTAACGATGGACTTTATCGTTAGGCGTAGGAAAATTGTTCTTAAGGTAAATATCTCTCGACAATTGTGTTGTACAATCATATTATTTAAACAAACATAAATATGTAATATATATATATATATAATATAGTTAATAACGATACGCAAGTGATAATATAAAGAAAATTGTTTTTAAAAACACACAAGAAAATGTTAAGTTAGCATAACGTTTCCACAGCTTAGCTGCTCCTCAGTGCAATGTAACTATGCAAAGAATCTATGAGTCATGTGTATTGTCCACTTACTCGTGACGTCACATACAATATCATGCCCCTTTATCATCTATGTTAACGTGAAGTTTTAGAAAAGAAACAGAAGACTATATAAAAGGAACTGATACCATTACAAAGCGATCAATCGAAAAATTGAAAGAGCAGGTAATTTGATACACGAACACTGTATTATGTGAAGTTTGAATAAGATATATCCAGCACTTCTTAAAACATTGTTATAACAAAACCTTTATCCTAAGTAATATAAATGCAAGATGGTCCTTCCTGGGCAAGTTGTTCTTCTATTCTTGTTTTAAACACTATAAAACAACAACTACGACAACAACAACTACAATAACTCCGTAAGTAAACCAAAGTTTTTCGTCTAAAAGCCATAACGAATAAGCGTATAACAAGGGCGCCAGTGGATATGTTACAATAAATGACGTATTCAGACTGTTTAGGTCCTATTTCAGTTGTGTTAACACGATATAAACTTCATGATCCAATCCTCATCTGAAAATATACGTCCTATCTGTTACATTGTATATGCTTTTGATAACAATCAAAGCACCTGCCTGACTTAATAACGACAGGTATATTGAAAGCTACCTGCTAAGAGTATGATTTGCAAAATAATTTTGAGACTGAACGTTTTGTCATACTAAAAAGACTGGATTATATGTCATCACTCACAAACTTGATTCGGAGATATAATATTAGGATTACATCTTTTTCGACCAAACCATTAAAAGGGTTTTGATGCTAAAAAATTAATGCTTATCACGCTTTTAAGACGGGATGCAAAATAAAAAAAATGTTACAAATTTGATTGGGTAAACACCGATGTATTACAAAACATATATTTGCTGTTGTTATATCCTATCAGACAATTGTACTGTTTTGTGTTTTAAAAAAAATGAGGTATTCGTATGTTCTAAACACTAAAAGACAAATTATCAAACCTGTGGTTCGGTGTATATATCAGAAATGCGCTGTTGGTATCCAGTTGTGCTACAAAAACAGTAGGTTGACAAAGCAATAAAAAACACTTGCTTCTGATAAGGACCAAGCTCCCCATACTCCACCAGAGCGTCGTCAAAATTCATTTTACTGCCAACGCAAAAGTAGAGTAAACTTCTATTGGGAAAAAATACTTAAAATCGAGAGAGAAAGAAAAATAATCGGCATGAAAAGAGGTGGCCAATATTTTGTACCTAGGCGTTTTTGAAGACTATGCGTCCAGAAGTGTACTAGTCTCTGCAATATTCCAATGACACTCCAGTATACCAAAGGGAGAATACCGCGCAGCGTTTACGTCATGGAATACACGACTGCTTGTAATAGACGTATTCAACAATGTCAATCTAATGACACTGATGACAGATTGTTGAATTAGTCTGAAAAATGCATAACACTATTTCAAAGCTTCAAAACCATCTCTGATAAGTCATAACACAGCGAAACAGTTGTATGATGCAGTATAGTTCATTAAGTTTTGAACCGGATGATACTACTTGCATGTCTTTATCATAATCCTGTAATGGGGTATGGGGTGAACACTGTCGATGAACTTCAATCCCCATGGCTGCCGTCACCACGGCGTTGCCGCACTTAAGTTCTTTTAATATCAAGCACTATTGGAAAGTAATAACAACACTGAATTATGGGGTTTGTGCATCTAATGCAGATGTGTTTCGTCCAATTTGTTCCCAAATGCCTTCTAGACAGACACAATTTAGGCCCTTAGCTTTACCGACGGATCTAAGAAGAAAGAAGCCGTCTTTTGATAGATTTCAATGTTTGTTATAAGCTGTGCTAGTCTCCTTTAGCAGTCGGGATGGCCAACTCACTGAGCATAATACGCTGAGCAATTTGGGTAAAGTGCCATGTCCAAGGTCAAGATCAACAGATGAAGTGAATACCAGGGGCCTTAGAAAATTTCTACTACATTCCACTATCACTTATGTCTGTTTTCCAGTTCTCATTACAGGTATCAATTCCTGTGGAAAGCTTTTCTACAAACCTTTATGTCAATATATGACTACTTTTCAATCACAGGTAAAGAAGGATACAGTACTTTCTTTAGAAAAAAATAATACATTAAACAGACATCTTTTAACGTTTGCAATAGCTCTATTTTGCATTTTTAGAAACGTTTGGCGTGAAGATTCAATTTGTAATTGTAGTGGTAAGACACTGGCCTTTCACCAGGATCCGGGGTTTGATTCCTTGAACAGACGTGAAAAGGTATGAGTCCCATGCCTGACCACATGCACTTTACCCTGGTACTCCAGTATGCTCCTATCTTGGCAGTGATTCATAGCTTGAATAACTTATTTTGTACTGGATGTAAAATAAATGAAGTTTCATTAAACTAAATTTTAATTCCCTGCTTTGCACAAAATAAAAGTTTGGTTTAGTCAGATAGATGTGACCATATGATTTTCAAAGAACAAAACAAAAATTTGGTTATAACAAATTTTATTTTGTTTACCAAGGAAAACACATCAGTAGGTGTTCACTCTAGGTATTTCACAGCTCTTTGTCATATTTTCAAAGGTATCTCATTCAAAAGACTGCTTGATTCACATTTCAGTTGAACAATATGTGTAAAAGTGGTAAGTATTGAAATTGAACAATAATAGAACTATAACATTTTCACTATACGGTATAGTTTTCAAAATAAAACAACACTTTTGCAAAATTTGTGAATTCTCTACAGAAGTAAATATCTCTTTTTTTTCTCAAAGGAAAAATAACACTTTAACAGATTTTAACGTTTATAACACAAAATGATGAATGCCTTAACAGGTATTCTGAAATGTGCACATTTTGTCCTTCTTTTATGATATTATAACTGACATTCCCATTAAGTATTGCTTGTTACACAGAATATTAAAAAAAAAACCTGCTACAGTAATCCACCAGGAGACATCAATCTTATTCAACATATACCTATTTTCTGATTTTGATACAACCTTCTTTTATATAGCTATAATGGCATAAATAAAGCTTGCAATAAAGTCATTTTGGGGTCTATGAGATGTAATTTCCTAAATATCAACATCAAAATTATAATTAATGAAAGAATTCTGCAAAATTGAATATCGCACTGCATTTATTTCAACTCACTTATGTAAATGAGACATAAAACATTCCTTGTTGAAGCTGTGTACAAATTAGAAATCAATTGGTAAATTATTGAATGTATTATCTGCATTCCTGAAGATCAAAATCCCACCAGATGTCACTGTTTTACTCAAGAATTCAATTAAAGTATTCCATATCTCAGTATATCAAAATTTGAATTTTACATTAGTTATTCATAAATTCATCTAATTTGATTGTTAAAACAATTACACTACCCAAGAATTTGAGCCAAATGTAACATCTTGATATTGATGAATATGACTAAGACCCATAACACGAAAATTTCTCCTAAAATAAATTCTGGCCAAGCAGTGAAAAACAATAATATAGGTTTAAATATGTATACATTTATACACATTTTAATTGAACGAAGTTTCAAGTCAATTCGAATATTTTGAATTCATTTCAATTGTGTTAAACTCACCAAAATGGATAGATAGATTTCAGTCATTTCTTCCGATTCAAATTGTTAACCCTATTGTCACAATGTTTACTAAATCTGGTTACTATTGTGCTTATAGATTCTGAGAAAAGGAACCTAACACAAATACTTAACGATGAGGTGGACGATCAAGGAGAAGTCATATTCTAATATTAAGATATCTTCAGTAAAATAGTGATAACACTCTTCCATTTTACAATCCAAAATTGCTGTCTGTCAGCCATCTTACAACCAAACTCAAATTAGATATGTAGAGACCCAGCGAAGGTTGAACCCACAAACCAATTCTGATAATATCCAGCTATTATTTCACAATCAGTTATCTATAGAAATAATGAGTACTGTAAATTAAAAAATGGATGACATTCCACAGACAAATGAAAACTTAAACAGTCCGCATGATTGTGAGCCTAATGTTTAAAGTCAATATTGATGTTTAATTATTCAGGATGATTTACACTGTGAAAATGCATGTTATCAGATCAAATCTTTTATGGCAATAAAAATTTTGCAAGGATATTCTTATGCAGAAAATGGAAGGGCCTGAATTCACAAAATGTTTACCAATGATCTATTCAATGAGATTGGTAATGTAATACCTATTTTTGAATAGTCAAAATTCGAATTAGACAGGCTTGATATACCAAAATGTAATCTGTACATAATGAGGAAAGTAGGGGTCAATGTCAACAAAGATCTGAATACTTAAGTACATAAGTACCTGAGTACATATCCTATAGGGCTTATTTAGACAGGTTTTACTGCACCTGAATGGATATTACATGTTGGGACAAAAGCAACATTCCTTGTAAAGTAATAAAATGCATTCTTAATGCACCAGAAAGCACTTTGCTATTTAAAACAATTTACTGTCATTGTAAATGAAAAGAAACCTACAGAAAAATCAGTAACACAATAAGCCTTTGTTTCAAAAGACTTTAAAGCTAATAATTCAAAAATGAAGTTGTTTGCAGTGAAAGCAATACTAGATGAACCATCCAGCTTGGTTCCAGATCCCTTGCATCCATCCATCCACATGTTCACTGTCTCGTCATCACATATCACTTCCATATGTCCTTCCCGTACACATCACATGAAGCAGTACAAACACATCCAATCAGAAATATTGCCACTTGCCTAACACTGTTTCTTTAATAGCCTCCACATATTGAGCTGGCACCCAGTATATCCAATAGCGTGAAGCCTCTGTTGGCCCTAATTGTATTCCCTGTGAAAAGACAACGACTTCTTTAATTACATTGACATGTATACATATATAAATATATTTTATCAATATATAAAGGTTGAATTCACAGCATCCAGTGAAGTATGCTAATGCTTTAATTTGAGTTCTTGTTTGAAGATATTTAAAAATCTGTAAACAATACATTTTTGTATTTTCAACAGATACAAATAAATGATATTGTGCTAAGAGAAATTATCACTGAGCACAATGCTTTCAGGCACTAAAAATGTTACAGTATTCAGATAAGACTGACACCAAAAAGCAAAATCATTGTATTAAGATACACGTATGATTTATCTTAGATTAATCAAATATCTTAATATATTTTCTAATAATGTATTAAGATATTTGATAAATCAAAGTTTACTTACCAGCATGTGATACTCTTCATGGCCTTCAATTGCTTCGCTCACAATAGCTTTAATAGAACTCATTGGAATTTTGTCAGTTCTCTCTGTAAGATAAAAAGTAGAAAGCTATTATATCCTAAAAGTAGAGTATTGCTAAGATATTGGTATCCATAGCATAAAAAGGAGTGTATTGATAATCATATTCATTTAAATCATCAAAACAAAAATAAAACAGGTTCAAATCAAACTATACACAGCATGATATAGGGGAGGAAAGGAAAGTGCAGAAAAAGCATTTAACCAAAATATCTACTAAAGCAACTTCCATCAAAACCAGACTCTTCTGACTGTCAAGTAGAACTACAGTGTGGATGGGAGGATAGAAGATCTCAATATTCACCACATTATTTTTTCTATATACAATGTTACTACTACATAGAATACTAACCTTCGGTGACTTTCCATACACATATTATAATCATATAACTAATTGTGGATCTATTGAAGATATACCTAATTATATGTAAATCACTGATATTTTGTGTATCATTTATTTTTGTATGAATATACAAGGAGAGCCAATCATGCATTGGAATTTCTTGCAACAACTTGTACGAATCTCTTGATGACAACCTTGTTATTTCATTGTTAACTTGCTTTTACTTTCGTTTACACTTCCATCGAACTTGCACTTCCATTGAATTTATTATATACGTTTTCAATATATCACAAACAGATCTGCTAGCCGTATATCTCTTTCAAATTCAGACATTTTAAAAACTCTATACCTTTAAATGACATCCCCATATTGCTGACTATAGAACCTCACAAAAATGGTGTCTATAAGTCAGAAGTTGAGCATGTGTGCCACTATATATAAAATTGTAAATCTCTGATGTTATTTTTGTGTTGGAAAGGTGGTAAAATATTTACAATAACAGAGATTAACTTGCAAAATATATATTATAAAATTACGAAACAAACAGTAGGAAAACTGTCAAAGTCATTACCCCTTGGATGACTACTGTATTAATTAGCATAAACATGTTACGAAGCATAATGTTAAACACTGCACAATATGTCTGGCCTACTGAAGTCATCTTACTCTAAAAACAAGTCACTTCACTCATCAAACATTAAAGCATGCGGGGTGTTCACATTTATCTATTTTGTCTTCATACTGGCCTGTACTCTGGTAGATACCATTCAGACACATGTATACATAAGTAACATAATTAAATTACTTTTCAGGTACAGTCACATGACTCTCAAATTGAAGCTATCAGTTGCTGACATGGGAGTTTTCCAGAGTCTATATCTGTAATAACTCATCATTTGTAAATTCCAAGTCAATTCTAGATCAACCTTCACGAAATAATATATTCATGAATAAGTCTGAAAGGTGAGTTTGTAAAATAAAGTATTCATGTAATCTAAGTGATTTACAGTATATTGTCATGTGATTTGACTGACAACTAAATAGACTGATGCATGTATATAACAGTGCCACTGCTTGTTGATATACTTTACCGTCTCTACTACTAGAAAAATATAAAACTATATGATCATTTTGAAAACATTTTTATTGATTTCAAATGTACACTGATTGCCTAAATACTAGAGAATACTTAACCTGACTTGACAATTTCTCTCTCACACCTGACATAATACTTAACCTGACTTGACAATTTCTCTCTCACACCTGACATAATACTTAACCTGACTTGACAATTTCTCTCTCACACCTGACATAATACTTAACCTGACTTGACAATTTCTCTCTCACACCTGACATAATACTTAACCTGACTTGACAATTTCTCTCTCACACCTGACATAATACTTAACCTGACTTGACAATTTCTCTCTCACACCTGACATAATAATTCCAAAATAATAAAATAATCTAAAAAATAATAAAATTTCTGCATTTTTCATTTTGAGATAATTTCAATAAAAAGTGTAAACTGGCAATCCTGCAGATGTTACAGATGAGTTTAATCTTTTGTATTTGAAAGAACTAATCAACTCCTAACTTAAAACTTGTCCATACCAGAGAAAAATTTTCATCTGTGTACTGATGATAATTACATGCATCTGTAATGACTTTGTGTCGTTTGATTAGTTTACAAGTACATTTTTGATTAACTGACAATCTTTGACATAATATCACTTCCACAGATAACCCCATGCAGTAATCAGAATATGTAATCCTATACAACATTAAACAGACATAACTGTTACCTTTCGTTCCTATCCACACCTGATCCAACTCCAGCTTAAATGTGAGCCTGACTTTGCCTCCTGACTTATTGTACATGCCAGCAATGGGTTGGTGTGGTAATGGCTCTCGTCTTTTGTGACCTGGAATGCAATCATCTGGTTTCCCATGTTTTTCTAGCACCTTTTTATGGTCCTGCAGAACAAAATCATGATAACAGAAGACATTCACAAGTTTCCTTAACATCTTTTATTAATAGATAAACGAATTGAAAATGGTACATTTCATCATATATTTATATTGTAGTGTCATTATAATTTTGACAGACACAATATCCCTCTAGTAGGCAATTCTCAACATGACTGATTCAATCTTTAGAAGTTATCCTTTGCTTCAACCATTTTCATATACTAATTCACTTTAACCTTATTCACTTTAACAGTTTTAAAAGACAACAGCATTTTTTCTTATGATGAATGTTAGTTTGTCATGGCAACTAAATAAAAAGTGTCTCTGGCTACTTAAATCCAAGAAAAGAAATCATGCATATAGCTGTCAGTCCTACTTAGACAATGATTCACCTTCTGTTTGGATAAAGATTCTTTAGCAGCTGATGCTGCAGACTTGGCATCAGCCTCCAACTCTTTGGCACTGGGTTTACCCATGGATAACACATCATTAAGGGTAGACCCGACCACCATGATCTTGGATCCTTTTGTCACTTTTAAGTCTCGTAATGTACATTCATCTTTAGCTAAACCTAAATGTACAGAATCAATCATATTTTACCAAAATGTAATTTTTCATACACTACACTAAATACTAAAACATTTCTTTCAATAGAAGCTCTCTAGTAGTAATATTCATGTAAATTGCTGAGCTATTGACCAAAACTCTGTAGCTAGTTGTAGAATCTTGGAGAACATTAATTTCATCATATCTATTGGATTGTACCAGCTATTTGATATTTTTGAAAGCTAAATTATTCAATACATAATATATGTCTGGTTCTTTTTATACATTCCAATTCACATAATTTTAAGTTTACAAGTTACTGACTTTCACAATTTGTAATTATCCACTTTAGATCAACCATACTTCATATTTGTCTTTTTTGATAATACTATTGTTCTGTGATAAAATGCATTAATCACCATAGCTAGTAGCAAATCAACCACAGATTGATCACACCATGCATTTCCAATGGTATGTACTCTGTATATATTCTATATACATACCTTTAAACATGATTTTCTGCATAGCTGCTGGAACACCTACAATCATTAACAATTAACAAAAAAAAAAAAAAAAGATTTAATGATTTCTTCTTGAGGTTTTGATTCTTCTGTTCTGTTTAACTCTAAAAATCAACTCTTAAAGGGACACTGTATTTAAATCATACATTTCATATGCTAGCATTGTCAGAATACATTTGCCTCTTATATTTTTGTTGTATTCAGCAGTGATGAAAATAAAAGTATTTCAGCACGTGCATTAATTTGCTGAAATAACTTTCTGATTTACTTAAAAAATCAAATTACAAAATATGAAGAACTGTTTAAATGATTTTGCTTGTAATAAAAAAGTTTAGTTACAAAAAATCATAAAATTGCTATAATACCTGTTGAATTTTGGAACTATGTATCCACATTGAACAATTATTTGGGTGTATATCATCTGATTTAATTCAGCATAACATCAACACCAGGTTAATACACATTTTAACAAAAACTGTGGAACTTTGGATAATCTGTATTTTCAACTAATATTGCAAAATATAAAGAATATGTGGTTAATGTCTGAAGATACAAGCTGCATTTTGGCTTAGGAAAGAAAATGTAGCTTCCCAATGGTTTGATGCTTTTCTCTTTCTTAACCCTCGCCACAAAATAGCTTCAGTTTTAGATGTTAACCAAACTTTTGCAATATAATAGTGACTGCTGTTAAACAAACAATCAGATTCTGTGCTAAAATTGTGATTTGCTTTCAAAATGATCACTGATCAAGATAACGAAAACCTAATGTATACATTGCAAAATTCACCACTTACATAAATTGTGTGAGTCATGTCAATCATACTCCAAGTACAAGTAAAACAATTCAATTTTCAAATATGAGGTGTGTATTTCTTTTTGTTTACTTGATTGATCTACGAGTCTATTTCATATATGGAGGATTTAAAACAATGGTTGATAATAATATTGATTTAAAGACAATTCATTTTGTCCATTCCATTGTAACAAGTCCTCTCCGCAATTTCATATGAAAATGATCAAATGGAAAGTTTCAATCAAACTTTACTATAATATTATTGAAAAAGAATTCTTATCACTATATTTTTCATTCATCTAAAAACGTACCTGTAAGGGTTTCAACATGTTCCTTGAGATTTTTTATGGTGTTGTCCACAGGAAATGAGACATCAAACTTTTGTTTTTTGTATATTAGTTTGAATTCCACTTCTTCCATTTTTGTTTCTGATGCAGCATTAGTATTCTCTGATGATTCTATAACACAGTAAGTCAAGATTAGGAATGTACTTTTATATAGATCAGAAAAATGTTAGAATTATTGATATCTGTATAAATATTATTGGACAATAATAAACAATCACATATATCTTGGTTTGTCAGCTGTACAGGCCTTACTTGAAGAGGAAGCTTCTGTCTGGTTTTGATTGACATCTCCATGGCCTTGCCCACCAGGATCTGTTACTTTATCAGATTTGTCTGGTTGCTCCTTTATTTCATCTTCTATTTTCTGGAGTTCATTAGTTGTTGATTCCATCTTTTCTTGGTCACAGACCTCTGGTGGTGTTTCTAATAAACAAAAGGTACAAATCAAGTAATTAACGTCCATGTAAAACTAGGATTGACATTGTATTTTGCTTAAGGTTCAAATGTATTTTCCTGTTATTTAATGTTATATGACTGTAACTCTGAACTGAACAGTCACTGACAGATACATTTGGTATTATGGTTTTTCATTTTTAATATATATTTGCTACATATATATATAAATAACAGGTATAGTCAATCTCTCTCTATCTTCTATTCAGATATATCTCAAAGCCAGCTATTGCATCTCTCAGTCTCAAGACACCTTTCCATTATATAGGCCTCAGGAGGTGGCATATAATTTGATTACATTAATTTGTTGATTAAGATAAGGTAAGGTTGTGGTCATTTTCACTTCTATTATGCTCTTTTAAAGTGTGCTGTGAAGGTAAGGTCTACATTCTTTTGCAAGAGTTTACTCCCTTAATGAAAGGAGAAAGGAAAAGTCTCACTTGACTAACACATTAATGTTATCTTGACCCGCACCGTGTACTCTCTGCTTTTACATAATACGTCTTTGAAAAAAATGGTGACCTTTCTGGTTTCATAACCAACCATGTTTGTGAAACCAACCTTTGCAGCGCTTGTAATAATGTATCCATTTGAGTCACGGAAAACGCCATAAGTACATTAATCATGAATGCTCAAATTAATCATCAAAACGATGACCGTAGAGTCAACCGTTATTTAGCGATAAAACCTAAAAGATAACTATTATTTTGGGCTATTAAACATTCACTAAAAACACACATTAGCAGGCATGACCATACATGACAAACGAAATTGAAAGCTGTCCAAATATTGTAACGAAAATGATAAACAGGTCACTTTGCTTGTGTTTATCTCTGCCATAAAGAACTTCATTCGTATCCAGCAACTATCCAGAAATGTTGATCATTCATTACTGTGTTTGTCATCAGTTTGATTTTTAATAGAGGCAATTATTTTTCTGGAAACTTTTCTCTTACCAGATTGTGACGCCATTTTGTATTCGTTCAAAACGGAGAATCTCGGTTTATGATTGTTATTGAGGTAAATCCTGGAGGGGTACCGAATAAAAATGAAAAGAGAGCTATACATGGGAGGTAACTCTATACATCTTTTATGACAGGAGTAGTGTTCCGTGGCTGTAATATACTCTTGTCAAGATTAAGTAATCACATGCATTTAAAACAGAGATATAGGCGTTTACATATAGAAATGCAGAAGAAAATAGATTTATCGATCAACTTTCAAATTGACAGTCAGTTACACATTACAACGTAACCAGGCCGGAAATATTACACATGAATATATAGTGTACCTCACTGGTGTATGTGTGTGTACGTCACTGGTATAACCTACATTTAGCCCAGTGTCATTGAATAACGAAAACCTTGTCTTGAAAGAACGGGGGGGGGGGGGGGGGGGGGGGGTTTGTTAGGTTTCTATTGAATATTGTGGTTTCTGGACTGCATACCTCCAACTCCATTACAGTCAACTTAGCCGGAGGTGTCTCTCACTCACATCGATAATATTCAGATGTCTTTTAACACCTGACAAGTTTCTTTCATTCCTTAATGGATTGTTGGCTAATTACTACCTTTACCTGGATCTATCTCCATGAAAACATCTTGTTTTACTAATTAAAGTCCTGATGTATTTTAGATACACTTTGTGGATGACGACATAACCCCGGAACATTTTCATGTGTACACTTTGAAATGTGGTTAAAAGGTATTTCTGTGAACTTTTGTCTAAACTTTTATGTATCACATAACTATTTTTGTCAGTACATAAGAAAATAAAAGTTGAAATCTTTCCGTAAGGTGAAAAAATACGCATATTGTATATTTTTCTCGGGTTTTTCTTTTAAGCAAAAATTGATTTCATTTTTATATATTATAGATTTTTTTTATGTTTTCCAATTTTTTCCACCAAAAAATAAATAAATAAATAAAAATTGGAAGACAACGTTTTACCAATTGAATGTTTAAATTACTGTCGCTACTAATCATATGAACGCCTAATGCTGTGAACAGCTTTGGGATGTTTTAGTAGTTCTCCCTTACGAGAGATTACAGTATCGATGTTTTAGGGTTTTTTCTTTTGTTTGGGTTGTCTTCCTTCCTCGTCTGACGACGAGAGGTGACCAATGCCGAGAAACTGGTAGCGGGCACGATGATTGTCGTGATGTTGACTGACGATGGGAGGACGTCACGGAGGATCGGTAAAGTCTTGGGGAGGTCGATTGACGAGTACAGGACAACACGAGGGATCGATGGAGTCCTTTGGACTGACGGGAATCACTGTCGTTCAGTCCGCGCCTACCAGTTCCAGAATACCTGGACTCCAGCAAGTGGATGTTTGAAATTTTCCTTCTTGAAAAATTCATAATATATTAAATATTATAGTGCAATAGTGGAACAAATTCACGGATAAAGAATTCGTATACATTCAGTATTGTCGATATAGATACCATATTTGGATGTCGTCTATCGCTGCCTTCTCTGCCATCTGTCCAGCAATTACTTTTGCGATGATATTTTGTACAAGCGCTTAGCTGCGACTGGAAGTTTGCACACCTTATCTCTCATTTCACTTATTATCCCCAAGCACTGGATGACATTGGTATGCATAGCATGCACCCATCATAATCATAGATAATTCAAATGTTCTACAATATGTACATAGTGGTTTTACAGGGCATCAAAATGATGTCCAAATATTTAATTATATTCCAAGTATTGGTCCAGGAACACAGCTTCCGTTTCAAGACGAATGTTTGATACTTGGGGATAAGATTTTCCCGAACCGTTTCCTCATTTAACACCATTATACTAGACCAGAAATAAACCGGAAACCAGCTCACCTTCAGCAATTTTGTAGGAAATTCAACAGATAACTTAGTATGTACGAAGTAAATCACGTAATAAGAGAACTTAAATTGTACAGAGCAATAGGCAAGCTTCTGCGTCATCCACGCTGTAAGATTCATCAGTCAGTAGACATATAATATAAACTTTATTTATTTTACAACAATTGCGAAACACGTTATGTCAACTGAAACATTTGTTCCGCATTAGCAAATAGAAGGAAGGTCGTGTTTAAGATCGGTTCTTATTTGGCTGCAGCGATCCATATTTGTTTAAGTATGTCGTTAATGGGTTTTTATATCCTAAATGTTTTTATATCTTAAATGTTTTCATTTTTCCAATGTATTTCAAATATTAAATAATTGTATATATATATATATTGTATATTGCAAATTGTGTGGCTAAATCCTTGCTGTTTCACTTCGTTATATTTGTCCTGCAATGTACAATGCGCGCTTGTTGTCTACAGAGTATTTATAGGTCAGCGTGCAAGACACACACTAGATCGATTCGTTTACGTTTGACGAGATTGAACTAGATGTCAATTACAAGAAATTAAAAAAAAAAAAAAAGGCGGGGGGGGGGGGGGGGGGGGGGGGAGGGAGAATGAAAAAAACGGAGGACGTAACCTATTAATTGTTCACTTCGGTTATTCAATGCAATAAAAAAAAACAATGCCATTTTATTTCCTAAACTTGGAACCTGAAACCTTCATTCCTATACACAAAGGTGGAAACAAATCTAAACAAAATTCCGTAACTCGTGCAAACCTACTTTTTGGAAAACTAAATGTTTCTGTCGCACTTGTATAATACCTGAAATTCCAATCAAGTCTCCACATGGGATTTATTCCGGATATTGTCAAGATATTAGCGTTTTCATATGTATATTACAAGCTGCTTACAAAGTGCTCAATTTCCCTCCAAAAGACTAGTGAACTCGTTAAACTACCGCAAAGAAGATGTGTTGGAGGCTTCCTCCGATATCAAGATACTCACCATATCTACTGTTCTCCACATATATTATGAAAAATATCATTCACGTCAACTGTAAAATACGTAACAAGATTGCTGACGTCTACATCGATACGGAGAGCAAAGGTGTCGAGTTTCTGGATAGAGCATCCAAGACATTTTACCTTGTATTACAGAGAGTGATGAAAAATATAATGATACAAAAGCCTGGCAATAGACAGTCTATAACGTCAGTCGGACTGTGAAATATCCGTAACCTGTAAAATTTCTTGCCATTGACATCTGTACATATTGAGCATTTATTTATTTTGTAATATCATTAATAATTAATTGATGACTGATCTCCTAATGATACAATGAATTCCAAATCTTTGATGAAACCAAGGGTTGGTGTTGATATCCCATGTCACGATAAAATCGACGGCACTCCGCCTAAATGTCAAAGGCAGCTCTCACCAATGAAGATCTAGAGTTCATCTATTCGCTTCAAGGGACAGCTAGCTTGTTTTCTGCTTGACAGGAATTCCGAAACTGCGCATTTTAACCTTTACATACATCAGGTCCAATATCCGGTGCATGTGCGTTCGTGTATATTAGATTAATTTCAGACCACCTGCACCGTTTCAACCGAGTTGCGCGAAAGCGGCCTTATTTTATTAAGTTGCATGACAGACCAAACCACAAGAAGGCTTCTTTATTGTGATACTTGTATATCTTATATAAGTTTCATCACCATTTACCTCTTTTGATGATCTATATATACCACATACTGAAGATCATTATCCAGCATTGTAAAAACAATCGATTACATGATGTCAGTGAGGAGAATAACAATGCCTGGCATCCGACTTGGTGGCACCAAGATTGGTCGTCAGCTTGTCTTCTTTCCATAACTGGTTTCTCCATTAGTTACATTAATTTATTGACGATAACTAACAACTGATTAAAACATTGAATAATCTCTAAACTGATTAATCTACGACTTCCCAACACACTGAAATACTAAGTCAAATATTTAAGTTATCATTTAATCATATTGATTTTATTTTCATACAATTGATTCACACAACCTAACAAAATAAGCTATAAATATGACTTTTTATTACAGATTCAACGTTTTAGATGAAGAATTTGGATATGCACATGACATTTGCAGTGATCAATGTTCTCACAATTAAACATACAAAATTTACTTTAGGTCATCACAGTCATTTACATATCTCTTTTTTTTGCAAAACCACTTCATGTTCGTTCAAAGTGATGAAAACTGGTCCCAGAACATAACAAAATGTTTAGTGGTAACATTACGCAATATTACGAAAATAATTCTAACTTTACAAGGATACCAAGTTTTCCTGTTGTAAATATTTTTTAATTTGTTTTTTGATAGTTTGTTTGGGTTTTTTTCTTTCTTCTTTTTCCAAATGTAACAATATTAACATATTTAATATCATGTTCATGCATCAATAATGATGTATCTATTTCCATTTGTTTCTATCTATAATGGAATGTGAGGCTTTGAACAAGGCTTTACATGAAGATATACATAAATAGTAGTTCAGTAATGTACATTCAATGCTGTGGCTAAAAATGTATACAAAGTAGAATATGTTTATAAGTTTGGTCAATGAAAAATCTTATAAATAGATATTGTGAAGTATGAACAATGTATTACATTAAATACAACTTTGAACTACAAAGTGTAAAGAAACAATCAAAACAGTACTGACTAATTTTTAATATGAATTAAAAAAAAGCAAATACCTGTATCAATTATTGACAATATAACATGTGATTAAACTGTAAATGAAATACAAAACTTAAACACCTATGACAGCATGATAAACAAAAAAAGCTTAACATAGATAAATAGATATGAAAAATAGACTCTTTAGGAAACAAACAGAAAAGAAACATTCTGAAAATATTGCAATCATTGGTGATCCATATTCAAAAAGCGTTCTGAACTGCTGCTACAGCTTTCTGTACATTCTCGTCCAAAATGCCATCACCGCCTGTCAATAAAGTTAGATTAACAAATGGTGAAATATTCATTAAGTTACATCTACATACACAAATGATACACTCCAAAGGGCATTTATTGAGCGATAAAATGTCAATCATAATGCATAAAATACTGTCATAAAAGAGTATAAGACAGAGGTCAATATCTACAACTTCAGGACATATTGTTCGGGATTTGTACTATGTTGGATCAGATCAAGGTGATTATACTTGCTGTTGAGAGAGACTTAGTTAAGGAAAATTGAGGTTAATGTTTCAAAGGCTGCTTGTGCTGAATTCAGCTTTGAACATACATAAAGCTGTAATTTGAATAGGATTTATGCTTTATTCTTTCATGCCTTTTTGTCTATAATTCTATTTGAGACCAGTGCTGACACTCCAATAGAACTATAACCATTCATTAACCAATCAGATGAATGATGTCAGACCTCAGCATATTTTGTATCATTTTTTGTTTGCAGCAAACACTGGAAGACATTAATAGCTGTGAAGAAATAAGATAACAACTTACCATAATCTAAGTCTTGTATTTTACAAGTGAAAATACGTTCACCATTCACCCAAAGCTCAACACTGTTCAAGTCTTTCATTTCTTCAAATTCAACCTCATGTCCTTCTTTCATGAGAGAGGCTGAATGAAATATGTTTGAAAATAAACAAAATGTTTGGAAAGCTTTTCAGAAACAAAAATATATTTTTTTCTTTTACTTTACAGATTACTCTTCATTTTACTTGCATTGCTTAATCTGAGTCAACATAGGTATATGATACGTCACTTCAGTAACTTAAATTCAATTTATTTCTAAGAATGATAATTAATATTACGTTAATCAAGGTGTATAAATGAAATTGATCAATTTTGGATACAAAATTTTTTTAAAATCAAACACATGGTCCAACTCCAGTACATACTCTCAAGCCCTTCCAGTCGTGCTGTGTAATGATTTACACAACCACAAGCTTCATAGGGCCCAAAAAACACTGTCACTTTGGCATTCTGTGGCATAGCTGCTGTTGCGTTATCTGCAATGTAAAATAAGTTTAAATGTCTTGTTACCGCTGGCCTGGTGATTCTAGATATAGATATAAACTTCATTTATTTTACTACAATTGCGAAACAAGTTATTTCAACTTATACTAATCACTCTTGTTAGCCCGGACGTCAGCGCGCAAGGAGTCTTGTTGTGGGAGGAAACTGGTTTCTACATTGGCTGTGTCATATAAAAATAATAATGAGCAAATTTATAAATCAAGATATTTTCTGCAAATATGTACCCTATATCAAAGTGCATCTCCGAATGGATGAAAAAAAGGAAATCATCAACTATGAAAAGACCACCAATTCCCCACCCTACAGTTACAATGGTGATTTGAAATGTAGGTAAAGAACAGAAACTTTCATTTTAAACTTAATCACCAATTTGCTTTTTAAAATCAAACGCTAAACAGCAGACTCGTACATCTACCTCATGTATAATAGATATGTATAGATAGATCCTAGATGCTGCAGCCTCGTCTGTCACTACAATAAAACATGTGCCTACTGTACATTACAGTCGTGGCCTCTTATTTTTCACCACACAAATAAGCACGGTCTGTATTACTTACATTGTATTGCCAACGCCTTTGGATGGTAGTCTTGTACGCTTACAGATAAAGCAAAGGTCTTTCACTGTCTTACCTGCATCAAAGCGTGTTGTATCCAGGAAGTCGCTTTTGCCATTCACTGCGGCACAGTCGTCATTATATCTTTGAGAGGCCCGTGGAAAATATTGAAGATATTGTTGAAGATGTTGTAGTTGTATGAGAGTCTCACTGTAATAGGAGATCACCTATTTTTATTAAATAATTATATGATGTTATGAGTTCTATTTTTAGCGGAATTATTGTATGCGGGATTGCAACATGGCTTCCAAACAAATTATATTTCGATATCTACGCAGTATTTCTGGACGAACTTCAAAATTGAGAGCTTTTGAGAGGTATTGTGCTGTCTTATTTGCCGGGCCGAATAATCTGCTTACCATATTTCAATATTTCACCGTGTCACCGACAGAAATTTGTTCATTGACAATCCTTGTACAACGGCGCCAGTCGTAAGGTCACGTATCAGTTTAATATAAAACACCCGATATGCCGGCTTTCCGCCGCCTCCTTGAATTTGAAGGTTTATGACCAGATGTTAGATTACAAGAGATTGGCAACCCAACTGTAAAACCGAAACGACTTTTTAATTATCAGAACAACTGAAATGAGTAAAGATCTTACAGTTGACGGGGTGAATTGGATGTTATTACATGTTATTAGTTATATTAGCATCTCTATAGACTATACCAGCAACATAACCGTGCTAGGATTATACTGTTCTAATGAGTCCGTGCCCGAAACAAAAGGCTTCAACCTATATAGAATACATAAACATCGTTGTAAGGTACTCATTGAATATATTTAAAAGTTCAGGAATTCTTTCTCAGTTGAATTTCCTTTCACAAAAATGATAATTACAGAAAATGATACGTGTGATACAGGTAACGTTAGGTATTGCCTTACTTGATGAAAGAGAAATGTCAGAAGCAGATCGCAGCATTGAGGTTAGCAAACTTAAAGACATCATTTACTGTTAAGCACAACTGGCACTCTTTAGATTTAAATGCCAACATGTTTCAAGTATGTATATACCACAGTGTCTGTTATAATTACATGTTCTAATATTAGAGTACCTTGATTTTTATCTCACCAGGCCAGAAGGAGGGACGAATAATTCCTGAACATTAACATCACTATTGAATCCTTTATACTTTACTATCTAGTGAAGTCAACGTTCATGCTTTCAAATTTGCAAACCACCAAGATTCTCCATCTTACTGCTATGCTAATAGTGTCAATTTACAAAGTCATTACAGTATTACTTGTTCCAATGAATGATGTTGTCAACCCACATTCAATGTCACAATGATTGAGTGGGTTGAAGAAATTCATTACAACTTATTCTGAATAACCAAACAACTTAGATATTGAAATTTTTCCAATAACATGCTGATAAGATGGCTTCCAAGTTGTTAAACTGCAAATTCCTTTTTAAACTTTCAACATCATGAGGTAAACTGTTTTAAATTCTTTGACAGGTTGTTGAAACTTGTTCAGTTAACATTTAATGTTACAAAGATTAATATCAATTAACAAACAGTATTATGATGATTGTATTTTGTAACCTTTTAGGATAAAAAAATGGAATTTTTAAATACATACATGTATATACTGAAAGTTTTCACCAAAATTTTTCAATACTTTTTCTGTTAATGTTTAACCATATCAGCATGTTTGAGTATTTAAAGCTGCTAAAATTTTTATTTACAGTTTTGGTGTTCCTGCTGTACGGTTAAACTATTCAACGCATTGTGCCTTGTGGAAATATGGAGGATCTCTTGGAACACGCAAATTACAAACACCATTCAGTTTTCAGCAAGGTGATGTATATTAACATTATCCTCAGTTATCTAGATAATGCTTGACATATTTATTTGACAGTTTTATGTAGATTATTCACTGCTCTTGATAATATCAAGACTGCAATATACAGTTGTTCAGATTAATTATTTAACAATCTTTGAAAACTCTATGACATATAATTGCTGCACATGAAATCTTGAACAAAATTGTTACAGAGATCTTTTAAGTTGTAAAGAATAGAGATTTATTAATTAGCTTGGGCAGTTATGTCACAGTAACCTTTCAAGGTTGTCTTTGAGAATTTCACTATAACAAACTTTGATAATCAGAACAGTGAAATTGGGATTTACTTTGCAAAACACATTGGTTGAGTATCAGACAAGCAGGCTTTTGAGACTCTTGTTTATTTTCATTTTATGGTGGGTAACAATAGCCTCATGAAATTGTCCTTGTCTCAAATATTGGTTCTTGAGCATTATGGTATATTAATTGTATATTTAGCAGATGATATTGACTTCAGCATGTATGAAGTATATATTGTCAATGAAACTTACTTTCAGTTCGATCAATGTTCATACAAACCCAGGACACACCAAACCCTAACAGTATCAAGTACCTCCCAGGAACCTCTGTCTTGGAACAAGGCACATTGGACTTTCCTAATTACCAAGCAGCCCACTGTTCACCTCTGGCCAGGTATACTGCTGTAGCAATAAAAGTTACAGTTTACTCATCCAGGCTTTTCACCTTCAACAGATAACAACCACATCAGGAAGGTTCCCATTATGTATAAAAATGTCTTTGAAATAAGTCATTACTTTACAGTTCAGCCTTTCCAGAATTTCGTAAGAAACTCAACTTCAAAGATAATAATCTTTCATCATCAGATCAGTTTTATGCCACTCTGTGTACATATAATTGTGTGTTTGATCAACAGAATTTTCACAGTAAGTTAAAATTGACCAGCTTCACATGGTTTAAACGGAAGAATATGTAACTAGGAAATGAGACCTAAATCTACATGTTATTTGTAAGGATTAATTTGACAACCAAACCCTTGGTGAATATCATTTTATCATTTTAGTGTCATTTTCTTTAATATAGTTAAATTCAAGAGGGGTTTTTAATTCTTGACAACTTCCTGTGGACAGTCATTAGCCCAAGTTTGTTTATGTCTCCAACACTGTACAAGTTTTAGCCTCATTGATGCTTGATACAAAAACAGTTCCAAAGTGATGATGTTTGACCTGTAAGGTACTTGATGAATGTTTACTTTATTTCTCATTAAGATTACATATTGTATGTGTTTAACCTATCTGAATTATCCTGATGAGTTCTGTTCTTTCAGACAACTGTTCAGAATAGAGGGTGTAAAAGGAGTGTTCTTTGGGACAGACTTTATTACAGTCACAAAAGTAAGTTTAGTCACTGCCTGTTTTGAAGCTGAAAATACAAGGAACAAAATATTTTCTCATTCATGGGTACTTAGGAGTTTACTACAAACACCAAAATTTACAAGAAATCTTTAATATTATGAATTGTTATACATATTAGAATTCAAATTTCTTGAAAAATAGATTTGTGTAGTAACTGATACATAACTATAATTTGGCAATTAAACTGTTATTTACGTTAACTCTAATGTTGACAATATTCTTATCTATAGTCTTGATGACCCAATGTAATGTAAATTGCTTCATGTAGCTTGATGATGATGTGGAATGGAAGATCCTCAATCCTCAGATATTTGCTACAATCATGGATTTCTTTGCCAGTGGACTACCAGTTTTGACTGATGAACAACCCTCCTCTGATACAGGTACATGATATCCTTTGTTACAGATCTTCTGTAGAGCACTTATATGGTATCATATTTTTTGTTTTGTAATCTTACAATCTTAACTGTTAGTGCTTCTGGCATGATATTATTGATTACCTTAATCCACAACATAGGTCACATGGCTGATACATTTATTAACCCATCATCATCAGATGGTGGGCTATTCAAATTGCCCTACGTCTGTGAACCAAATATTCTTCGTGGATGGAAGTGTCTTATAGTGCTTTGTAAAAATTGTAAATTTAATGACCCCAGGGTCTCACATTTCCCCTTGAAGAGGGGATAAAATTTACTATATTTCATATAGGAAAATTACATTTGTTTATTTCTTTCAGAAATAGTTCAAATTTGGTTAGAATTTTTTTGTTTTTTCATTTTATTAGTCTAAGCATACAGTATGAGATGCACACATTTTCCTTGACTGACCCCCAGGGGCTGATGGGCAGGACCAAAAATGGGTCAAGTTGAAGATGTTCTACTGTTCCTAGATGGAAGATTTAATATAGAAAAATTCAAATCTTGGGTGTGATTTCTTTTCATTCAAATTTGGTTAGTAGCCTTAGCATGGGACACCAATTTACATTTGCATTATGTGCACAATATAGTTAAAGTTATAATGTTTTTTAACAAAATCAACTCTATGACATGTTATAAAAAGCATTTTGACTCAGATGACTGTTTAGGCCCTTGGGCTTCTTGTGTCATTTTCATCTCAAAAATATATAGGTAATATAAAGTTATCAGAATGGAGCTCCACATCATATACATCTTGATATTCTTCTACCTTAAAGTTATTGAAGAAGATGATGATGAAACTGTGATGATGATTAAGGAACTGCTTGACACTCGAATACGACCCACAGTTCAGGAGGATGGTGGTGACATTGTCTATATGGTAATATCATTAATTTTTTTTGTTAAAAAGGGTGTAAAAAGTAATTTTGATTGGACAAAGATATTGCTAGTCAATATGTGATTTCTTTCATTATTATAAACAAGTCTATGAAAACAAATTCATTTTGAGTCAAATTTTGAAAATTTTATCCATCACTAATTACATGTTGTAGTACATTTGTATTTGAATTTTTTCAAAATATTGATGTTTTGTTTCCTTTGAAGAATTACATTACATATTAGATGGTATACTAATGTATTCCATATCATTAATTCATCAGCTGTTACTTCCAAGCAGTATGAAAGCAGATTGTGTGAAGTATTGTTTTTTCATACCATATGCATATACCCCAGTATATTATCTATAAAAATCTCATCATATCAAGTTACTGTATTCTTAGTCTCCATATGCCGGTAGAAATGTTTTGCTTTATAAGGATTATAGATCTCCTGGGGAGACTTTTAGGACCAGATATTATTAATGATTATTACAGGCTCTGTGGATTTCTTGTTATTATGTCATCTGACCAGAGGGATGAAGGGCTACCAAGTTTATTGATATAAATAACCTTGAAGCGCTTTCTAGTTCACAAGGGTCAAATATGTTAAAATCTTTAAACAACTTCTTCTCAATAACCAAAAGACCGGTGGTCTTGATATTTGGCCTGTAGCATGCTTTTTCAATGAGCAATATGTCCTGAGTAATGGCATTTGTGTAGTTCTTATATGAAGAATACAATTTCAAGTTTGTAGAAAATGTTTTCATGAACCAACTAATGTCTTCTATGTAGGCTGTAGTGTAGTTAAGCGATTTATTTTAGGCCTATTTGGCCTCATTCATCTATAATTCTTTATAGTCAGATGACCTTTAAGGCCCATGGGCCTCTTGTTCACTTTACCCACATTGATCAGTAATCCTGAGCCAATATTCACCTGTTTCTGTTGTCCAAAAAATTGTTTCTGTAAAAAACTGGGTCAATATCTCTGTTTCTTGATTACAAAATGATGAGTTTGTTAAACCTGGAAAACCTACTGAGACCAGTGTATGGTATTTTCCAGCAGAAATTCATAATATTCAATTCTATAAATGTAAGTTGATAAGTAACTTAAATGCTCATGGACTTATAAAATGGTGCATTGATTAAAAGCATCAGAGTATTGTTTGTACAGTATCATTTTTCATTCTAACATAACCGTTTTCTTCTACAGGGTTTTGAGGATGGTATTGTGAAGCTAAAGCTTCAAGGATCCTGTACAAGTTGTCCAAGTTCAGTGGTGACATTAAAGAGTGGGGTGCAGAACATGCTACAGTTCTACATACCTGAGGTCTTAGGTGTGGACCAGGTGAGTGTATTATCAGAACATGCTACACTTTAATATATCTGTCAGGGTAACCCCTGTCAGAAGTCCTAGGTGTGGACCAAGCAAGTAAATACCTGTAAGAGTTACCCTTGTTAGAGGTCCTTGGTGTGGACCAGGTAAGTAAAGCCCTGTAAGGGTTACCCCTGTTACAAGTCCTTGGTATGGACCAGGTAAGTAAAGTCCTGTCAGGGTTATCCCTGTCACAAGTCCTTGGTATGGACTAGGCAAGTAAAGCCCTGTCAGGGTTACCCCTGTTAGAGGTCCTTGGTGTGGACCAGGTAAGTAAAGCCCTGTCAGGGTTACCCCTGTTAGAGGTCCTTGGTGTGGACCAGGTAAGTAAAGCCCTGTCAGGGTTACCCCTGTTAGAGGTCCTTGGTGTGGATCTGGTGAATGTATTATTAGAACTTTCTACACTTCTGTCTGTATACCTTAAGTCAAAGGTGTGGGCCAGGTGAGTATATTTTGAGAACTTGCTTCACTTCAATGTACCTGATGTCATATGTTTAGGCCAGGTGAGTGTAATAATAAGTGTCATATTGTTGCATGCCTTTGAAGGTATAGTTATTGAAGCCTAATGTAGCATACTTTCTAAAAGTAAAAGAAAAATAATTCATTACATTCAAATAATTGTCAAAAGTGGTATTGTAGCTTAAAGTCTTAGTTCACTTGTTTTGAAATCAATTTTGATAATCTTATTTTGATCTACTTTGAAATGGACATGAATGTATGTGATATATGAGTGCAGACCAAATAAGCATTCTGTTAGAAAATAATGAATGTACTTTCATATGCTTGCATAACTTGAGTCTTTTCGTATATAGTATAAGATGACTTGCACAATTTTAGGTGACAACTAGAATTTCAGAATTTACCATTCAGATGTATATTACATTAATGTACAAGTACCATATTGATAATTTTATACATACTTTTTTTATACAGGTGGAGGATGAAATAGATGATGTTAACAATACAGAGTTTACCAGACTAGAAGAGAAGCTAGGAGAAAAGTCCAGAGACACGTAGACCTATTTATGGAAGTATCAGCCAATGATGATTTAGACATATATTCTACACAGTGGACCTAAAGATTCTCACATATTGATTATATAAACATCCAAGACACGGTATAGGGAGACCAATGAATTGAAATCTAGGTCAACCTACTCAGAAATTGGGTTTCATCTTTGAGGAATAATCAAACATTTACCATGTAAATCCAACATTTACCTGCTTGGCTGTTGAGACCTTACTGAGGCTGTTTTCCTATTATACATGTGATTATAGTGCCACAAAACATAGAAAAAGAATGGTAATTTTCTAGTACATATAGAGGTAATGGATGGCAATGTATGTAAATGGTTTGATATGATATCAATATAAGACTTCAGTCCTCTTTCTGACCTCACTGCTTGAGTAACAGAGTCAGTGTCCTGATTTATTGCTTACATATCTAGTACATCTATGCTGCAAATATTTTGTACATACTAGTTTGTACGCATGCTCCATTGACAAGTATTTGATATGATGTTTGACACTGTGTAAAGCCTGAGATTATAAACTAACATATAATACCCATTGGTAGCAGTACAACCACTGCACTTAATTGTATGTGTGGCAACTGTACAATTTAGAGGCTTTAAAAATCTAAAATTACTGATGTAATGTAACGACAAATAAATCCTGTAAAGTACCTTCATGTACCTCTGTAACCATGCCTGTTCATATACAAATTAAGCTTATTTGAAGGGAAACTCAGTTTGTGTGTGTACGTGATTTTGTGTTTTGGTTGAGTTTGCTGACCTTATTTCACAACTATTGTGATGACAGTTGTTGACTTAGTACATATATATTGTGTTGGGGCATGTTTGTTAAGTACAACAAATTTAAGAGTTTCAATTCTTTAATTTGCCAGAACTGTTTATATGAGGAACAACAAGAAATGTAAAATCTGCCATGTTCCATTCAGAGAAATCTCAGAAATTCAGGTTACATTACAGATTTAAGAGCCATGACCAAGATAGCAAAAAATAGTACACTCACAAAGATATTTCAAATTTTAGTTGAACTCTCCTCTTCAGTGATTTTTTGAAATCGTATCAGAAGGTATTTGAGTAAGAGGTTTTGTCATAGGATATATATTACTTCAGATGGATTATATAACAAGATTTAATTACTTATTTAAAAAATGTGCTATTGGATATCATTTTGATGTTAATTTAATAAATTGTTTTATTTTCTTTGCTATGATACATTGTTCATGGTTGTTTTTACCTCTTATAAGTTATTTTGTACAAATAGTATGTACAAAGTTCTACTCTTCTTGCTCTCGAATGTACAATGTAAGCATTGATGAAATTTCTAAACAGGAATTTTCATGGTGATTTTAATTAAGAAAATATATAAATTTACTCATTATGGCCCTCACATGATTTTAGAATTATTCAAATTTCCAAATTTCTTTTTTATCTTTAATTTTAATTGGTATCACAAACATGTATAATTGAATATTGAAACATCACAATGTTTAACTGAAACATTTAACATTTGTTTAGTTAGGGATGTTGAAATATATTACATGTTTTGGTATGGAGTTATTATTAATTCATTTAACAAAGATAACCAAGCAAGACAACAATGATACCATGTTAATGGGTTTTTTAAGTTAATTTGTTTTTCAAGTTAATTTGTTCATTACATAAAGACCGGACAGCACACACACTGGCTTTCACACGCAACATAATATACATACATGAGGATTTGTAACGTGCTTCATCATCATCATCACCATTACAGGAATACAAAAATGTTCTATCCATAAACAAGTCATCCAGATCATCATCATCGTGGTCGTCGTCGTCGTTATCATCATCATCATCATCATCATCATCATCATCATCAATCCACTCATTCATACTGGTATGTAATTACCTGTATGTATGATTACCTCATTTTCATTTCAAAATTATACACATCCATAATGTCAATAGCTGTCACTCATTTTGCACACACATCCACACACTTACACACCTTCACAAATATACAAATACACATCATAAATACATGTACTCACATTTTAGAAAAAGGTGGAGAAAAGTATAGAAAGGGGAAGAGAAAGAAGATACAAGATCATAGAGGCATGGTTTCATGGTATATAAATATAACTGCAAAACAGTGAGCTAACTGGGAGAAACCAGGGTTGAAGTATTCAAAGTTGTCAACTAGAATCAAAATCATAAAGTAGAGATATTTATATAAGGATAAATTAATAATGCTAATATTGATAATAATAATAAAAACATTAAAAATATATATATATATACTTTTTGGATTAAATCATTTTAATTCCAAGAGGTTTCCATTTTCTCCAACCTTTTTCAAAATATCCTTTAATTAGCTCACTTTTACGGTTATTTACAAATTATTGAATCAGGAAATGATCTTTTATAACATTGATAAGTGCATTGAGGTTTAGGGATTGGCTGAGGCATCTAGTTTTGTAGATATAATGTTTGATAAGAAGTGAAATTTCATCCACATTATTACAATATTGTGTTACTATTCCAAAAAGAAATGAATCCTTGTTAATAGTAAACAGAATGAGTAATTAGTTGAGAAGAGTTTCAAATCTCTGAAGTAAAATTTCAACCTCTTGACATTCCCATAAACGAACTATTGTCTCATATTGTTTAACTCTAAATTGGAATCACTGTAGTTTTTAACAATTAGTAACTAAAAGAGGAGCTCTAAATATTTTAGCCCATCCTTTTGTATCAAAGTCAAAATCCTGTTTCCACTTTCTGATTCCAGTTGACAACAAATCTGGGCAAAATCCAATCATTCTTACAGGAGGAATAGGATTTTAACGAATTTACTCTATTTCCAATATTGGAACCCCCACCTCCTTCTTAGGCCACAGGGGATGAGACTCATAGTTTATACAAAACTTATTCCTCTTCACCTAAACATGATTCAGACCAAATTTGGACAAAAGCAAATCATTCCTACAGGAGGAGTAGGATTTTAAATAATTTGAACTATTTCCTCTATTGGGCCCCGCCCCTCATGACACCCCCCCCTCCCAAGTTGCAAGATTCACCAATAGAAGCTTCTGACCAAACTTAGGTAGAATACCATTATTCCTAAGGAGAAGGATTTTAAAGGACTTGCCAAATATTCTTTGGGCCCCTCCACTCAGGCCCATGGGAGCATGGCAACTCCATTTATAGAATGTTCCCATTCCCCTTTTGGCCAGGTAAGCTAATAAAATAATAGACATAAATCGATTTGGATATTTGTTTTGATTAAATTGGAATTATACTTCTGTACGGATAGATATTTGTTGTCTAAATTTGGTCTGAAGTATCGTTGGATGAAGGGCAAGTTTTTGACCTCGTCCTTTAAAAATATAGAAACATTCCTCAAATGTCTTTATTTGAATGACCAAATAATGAAAATGATAATTATATTAAGTATCCTAAATGAGGGGAAACAAGAAATTTGTGACAAATTTGGAAGTGGAAAATAATGTTAGATTATCTTTATCACATGTCTTCTAACTTTTGCAAATATTCGTGAAAATAATATGATAAAAGATCTAGATTGGTTATGTTCGCTATATCTCTCTCTGGTGACGTCACAATGCATATCTTGTCATTACGAAATAACAAAAGATATGTATTGGGTATTGCGGTAGGCGTAGTATTTCTGGCGGCCCTAGGGATTTCGTATTACACGTGCATATGATAATATTGATGGTAATTTGTAATGTAGGAGTTCTTGGTTAACAAATTGACAATGCGTAATTTTGCATCATTTTGATATTACGGAACTTCATTTCCTCTCAATAGTATGAGACTTATATGTAGCTACAACTTATCCTCACATCTAGTCATCATTCAGTACCAACCTTAGCCGTCTGTGCGATTTTAATTGGCACTTCATACCATGGTATTTCTTGGCAATGGTTGTTGAAGGCGGTTTCATCTCTGTCAAACCTAATAAACACGATTTAAACATCTTCATCTTTGTTTTTTACGAAGCGTCAATCAGGTTTGGAGTAAACCTTCGGCATAGCGGAGGCAAATGGGCAGCAAAGTATAGACATGTGTAACAAATAACAGACTCTAAAATAATTCAATGTAGAATCATTTCAATATCCTTCCGAACAAGCTATTACTTGTGATAACAAATAAGTACCATGATATAATACACAATTGAACTAATAACTTATATATGGTCGATTTTCCTTTAAGTGCTACCTCTATAGGTACGTCTTTATCGCCTTTCGTCAGTTCTTCACCATTTTTTTTCAGATATTCGATATCCATGTCTTTGGAAACCAACAGGTTTATCTGTAAAAATGAACTTACAGAAATGTACGTCTTTATATTAAGACACGTGAGAATATTGATATATTACAGTTATCTCACGAATTAGAAAGTGGTCATTGGATTTGTCTCTAACTTTCCATCTTTAGTGCAGATTAAGTCATCATACACAACATGTAGATTGGTCGAGGGGAAGCGCTGTGTTGCATACCAAATTTTGTATGCCAACTTCTTTTGACCTTTGAGTTTGCCTTCAAAAATGATACTTCCCTCGAGCATATCATCTCTCCGGTTACGTTTTCATGACTTGTGTACGTCTTGGGTAGAACATACCATTTCCATAAGATGTAGGTCACTATGACCTCAACAACTTCTTGGGCCTATCTTCTTTACCATGGTTCCACATTGGGTATTGCCTTTTTTCAGTCACAATATAGTTTTGCCCACGAACCAATATAATCTTACCTGGGTGTTAGTTATAATACCTTAATAGACAACCATAAAAAAAATCCAAAAGGTCCCTTGGGCCTGTGATATGACATACTTAGAGCCTCAAACCATGGGTGCACGACAGAGTTCACCATTTCGTCAAAAAAGATAGCACAAACTAGTTAACCCTATCAAATGATCTTATCTTTAGCGCAATATCATCAGATGGTGGGCTATTCAAATCGCCATTCGTTCATGGTCCATTGCCCGTCCATAAACAGTTCTTGTTATCGCTATTTCTTGAAAAGGACTTTATGGATCTTTACAAATTCAATATATATCTACCCCTTGTTCATTTGTTGTGCTCGTTTGGTTTTGGCACTGATCGAAAAAAAGCATAGGCTACCATCTTGGATTTTGACCAAGAAAGCATTTTATCTCTATTTCTTGAGAAGAGCTGAATGGATCTTTATCAGATTTCATATGAAGGTATCCACTGGTCCCTTGTTGTGCCTGTTTGATTTTGGGTCTGATCAGAAAAACAAAATGACTATCAGGTGGCCATCTAAATATTATTATCGTTATTTCTGCAAAGGAATGTTCAAATCTTGTATTATTATAAGTACCGTTACATACACAAAAAGAGTGACACACAACTCAAATCAGGTCATTAGGGCAAACCGGTGAACGAACTCAAATGTAAAAGACAATTAAAGACGATTAAAATAGTATGTCATATTCTATAATATAGACCAATATCTTTCAGATTTTATAAATCTGAACAGTTTCAAAATGGGTCTTTAGACTTATAACGTTACGGTAATAAATGTCTCGAGAAGACAGAAGGTCAATACAGTGTAATAAAAATGTTTAACGGTGAATGGCTTATCACATGCTATGCACCGAGAATTATCTTCGCCTTTCAATATATATGAATACATAAGGTAAGTATGGCTCATCCGAAGACGGGCAAGGATAACTTCGTCTCGATGGTTGTCTCTATAGTATGGAGACCATTCACTGATGATAGGTTTTACGGAATACAGTTTACCATCGGCACCGTATAAATGTAGAAAAATATATTCTTTTTGGCTGCAATTTTGAGAACGATGAACGTAAGGTGTAAAGGTCAGTGTCTGATTTAGCCACTTCGTGATATGAAAAGTCAACTTCATGTAAATTCAAGAGCCATGAAGGAATTTCTATCGTTACGAATAACTGAATTTGGTCAATATCAATATTTGCGTTTTGTAAAAGAGCGGAAATCCGCAAACCAGATGATGAAATGATTGCTTTTGAAACAATAATTTATATTGTGGGTTAAATACGAGTGGAAAGGCATGACTTGGAGTATTTTATTTTAACTGAATTGAGTTATGAAAGCCAATCTATTTTGACCGCTCTATGGTGATGGTTCGTTAGCCTCTACATAGAGACTTGCAATAGGTGTGGTTTTTAAAGCTCCGAGAACGAGCCTAAGACCCTGGTGATGAACGGTGAGCAATGCTTTGAGATATGAATGTCTAGCAGACAATACATAACGGAACCTATCTAATATATAATAAAAGCTCTATAAAGCAAAAATTTTCTATCAGCTCCCCAACCAGTGTGGGACGATATCTTTAGAATGCTCAGTGCCACTAAAATTAAGATACGTTTCAAGATCAATGTCAAGTTTTCATTATCTTGATATAGACTTTCATAAAACTCCTTGGTATTCTCTAAAATTTTATCTTGTTTAGTAGTCATTGTTTCATAATCTTTTTTATGTTTTTTGGATTATTTTTTTTTATGTGAAATTTCTATTTTCTAGGTTGGAAATGTAACTAGTAGGTTTTCCCCTTCTCTATCCACTCAGCTCTTGACATTATGATACTTCCGTTTCATTTACGAAGACGAATAGTTGTTAGTTCTTTCTCTGTCCTATCGATTTCATTTAATTCTATGTTTTCCTGATTTTCTAGATGTTGTATGAATTCTTTTCACTCATTTTAATATCGTCCATTTATATCAGCATTATACCGATAAGATATTCCACATCTCAAGAAATAGTTAACAGATATGAAGAATAGAGAAGAGATACAGAGAGAAGTGAAAAGAAACTTGTATCAGTTTATACAAACACATTTAAAAGTATATCTAGTATCAGAGATAGCTCTATTGTAGTTTAATTTAATTCTCAAAACAATCATGATGTCATCAATATGACCAAAACTTATTTAACACCCAGAATAATCACCAGTAAATAAATTATGTACAAATCACTTGGGAATCATTATACATGTAGTAACTCTTTTATAGGAATTGTGCAATTGAATAATATCCATCACGTTAGTTAACTTTTCATCTCCCCAACCACCTTCACCATTTCAGTGCATAAGTGGATATGTAAACGAATGATTAGGTTTACTCAATAATTCGAAAATTGGTAACTTTTATAATCCCCACCCAATATTATCAACAGATCTTTCCACAAAAAAATATTAATATAGGCACATCATATATGTCAATAAACTTAACTTAAAATCAAAATAGAAAAAGTAAGCGGAAACACTTGAAGACATTAGCTTTGTTTTTAAAATGTCTTTGATTCAAAAAGACCAGATTTAAAAGTCAAATAAAAGAAAACGATAAATAGGAAAACCTAAGTGGGATAACTCCGAGATAATTGATTATGTAAAGGTGACAGGATGATACGTTTGTTTCAAGTTGTGGCGTCAAAGGAATTCAGATGTCAAAACCAAAATGTGATGCAGACAGATTGTCTGTATAGAAAAACTGGATCGAATGATGTGTATTGCCACATAAATTAATTAAAACACTACATTTGCGTTTCAGGACCCTAAAATTCACAATTCCTTGATTAATTATTACTTACACAAAAGTTACTTTTAAGACTTTTAAGACGTATACGACAATGTTGCGTGTTTCCTCCTGCACATCTAATATAGTATAATGTGACGAATATGATGATGAAATGGCACATTTGCAAATGACATTGTGAGGTCAAAGTGGTGAACATACATGTGCCATAATTATCTATCACATATTAATCTTGTTAACGTGTGAACTCGTTTCATTTCATACGGAATTTTATGAAACTTGTCAAGCAGTATTTTTTTTTATTTTGCTCGCAAAGTCACGCAAAAATAAACATTCCTAAGATTATTTTCTTAATGTTACAGATGAAATGAAAACCCTATCCGTGCCCTGTAATTCATTTGTCTTTCAATTTGCTCTTTTCCTGTCTTTTTTTTTTATTAATACATACTCTTTGTTTTACAACATGATGATAACGAGTACTGTGCTGATAAGTTTTATCTTGAGTTAAAATTTGTTTACCTCACATCAATGCAGGCTTACGCTCACGATTTATACAAATAATGAAACTCAGCACCCACACAGGTATTATATAAAGGAGAGGGCTTCCCTTACAGGGATCCCTATTTATGTACCCTATATCACGATTGTGCTTTAAGCAGTTGTACATCACATGTAAGCGAGGTACAGATTTAATTGCATGATCAACCGTGATGAAGACATGCGTGTGAACAATAAACTAGTGTGTGTGTTGTATTGTACTGGATGACACTACAAAAAGTAGTCAATGATAATGCAGCTTTCTTTCTTAGCGTGGATATAATGTACACTGTAACTTCATAGAAAATCCCCCAGAGAACCATGCAGGTCCGGAGACAGTCACCTCCTCATCTAGATATTGACATTTCTTTCGATCACTTTGATTTTTCCTCATTCGCCACCTACGTTTAAAATGTTGGTCCTTAGCATCACCGACTATTTATAAGGACGAAACAGTAGTATGGTACATTGTTTGCCTCTACTGTATTTTTTTAAAATTTATAATAAAAGGTGATTTTCACTCAGTTGTGTCTTTTGCACGTTCTTCCATTCCGGGATAGACAAAATGCATACATACGGACACCGAAACCCGAAAGCCTTTAATTTGCAGTCGCCTTTTCAAGTAAATGAATATTTTATTATTATTATCATCATCATAAATTCAATTTCTCTCTCCCCACTTAGAACATGAAGGGAGGTAATATTGATTAAATAGAACTCTTCTCGTTTGGAGATAAGAAAGTCTCTACAGACGCCATCTTGACCAAGAAAGCCGAGGATGGGCTAAGGCATTGTTCTTGTCTGAATAGGTACTAGAGCATTTCTAAATATTGGTATCGATGTTTACAAATTTGATATCTAGTGATTGGGATTTTAATTTTTCGTTTCTTTTCAAATTTTGCCTTGCATGAACGACATTTCAAGGTGTTGAATATGGTGTAATTTGAGCTCATAATTCATGAGCGGCATTAATGCTCGTATATGCACGCGGTGTTTGTAAGCTTTGGAGAAAATTCTGTTTGTAATTGTGATCATCGGATAGGTCAAGTGAATATGTTTTGAATTACCATAAAAGTAATGACCGTGGTTCCTAATGAATCTAGAACATTTATGAGTCTTCTGAAAAATCGCGATAAAGATCGCATATGCCAGCCTGAATGTAGTAACACTTAATATGAATCACAAGAAAGTTTCTTACATCAGTGCTAGTAAGCTCCGCACAGGTCATTTGCCAGATGAAGGCGACCATGTAGTCATCGAAACGTCACACTCGAATTAATCTTCCACTGGTTATGTTATAAGAACTTCTATGGTATGAAAAGTATATGTTATTCAAAATAACAAATGGGATTGAAATAAAATTAATTATAGAAAATAATACACGACCAAAAGAGAGAACAAACATCATAGTTTTGTTTGAAATTTATTTGATATTTGGTTCTCATTGATATAGATATATTGGCCATGCTAATTACCATAATTAAGTCCTCACTTGCAATGTATATTCGCTAAATATTACCTTTATCAGAAAGTCTTATTGACAAGTACATAAAGAGGTCATTACTGAACCCTAATGATAAATGCTACAATGATCTCATTTTTTTCTATCAAGGTTATTTCATAGATAAAGCAAAGAAATGTGTTTACGGTACTTCGAAAACAAAATATTCCAGTCTGCATTCTAATTTTTGATTACACCGGAACTCCCATGACGTCAAATAAAGCATTTGGAATACCTTAGTCATTTTCCCGCGGTCATACTGGTGTCAGGTGCTCTCGAGTGGTACCGACATGTACAGGTCTATATTTAGCAGCACAGAGTCAGACGGATGTAAACAAACACTATGGCTACGCAAACACTGGCTAGGCCTAAGTCACGCACAATGTCTAGCGCCAAGCAGTCATCACTGCATAGTTTTTTTCTCTAAAACTTAAAATAGAAATAGAAAAAAAGTCACACGTCGCATCCTTGCTGATTAAGTCCCCATTTCATAGCTGAATTTGGACAAGTAAATTTCCAATCGGACGAGTAAATTTTTCAGCCCACTAGTCCTGTGTCTAGTGGTTTAAAATATTTTTCCAGACCCCTGAGTACCACAAAAATCCTTCAGTCAGTTTTTTTATTTAGTTACTATGTACATGTGTTATATTACATACTGTATAACCTTTGAGCATTTTGAAAAGCTTGAAATTGTAATTGTATGTAGCAAGACCTCAGCTATTCCTTGATGAGCTAGTTTCAATGTGACCTGGCATTTGTCCAAAATAAATATATCTGGCAGTCACCTTTTGGTTGTGAATCCGGCTTATTTAGGTTTCAATTCATTAAACTGACTGGCATACAAAAATATTAAGTAAATCTTCATTGCTTCAAAATATGATTTCTTAAGGTGTTAATGTTTTGTTCTAAAGGATGTCTATAAATCACTCTATATATTTTAGGTACAGCAACAACAATGAATCAGTATCCCGGTGGTTTTGTGCCCATGATGATGCCATCCGTACAGTCTGTGCAACAGCCCTACATGGTGGTACGTCTGCCTCATGGGATGCCACACCCAGCAGTGGCTCGTGGAGGAACTGCCCAGCCCAGTGCTGCCTTTCTGCCAGGGATGCAGATGCCACTCAGTGCTACAGGAGCCACAACGGCTGCAAGATTTGGTACACAAGGAGGTATTTTGGCTTCTCCAGCTGTAACATCACTTCAGGGTGCCATCCCAGGCATGCAGAGTGTGGCAGGTCTTCAGGGAGTGCCTGGCATACAGGCATTATCAGGTGTACAGGGTGTAGCTGGTGTTCAGGGAGCACCAACCCCTCCAATGCTGCCAGTGACCTCCACTGCATTAGATGTGCAGTCACTTAACCAGAAAGCCATGTATGGTGCACCATTAGGCCTCAGGTAGGACAACAGTAGCAGTTTTTTTTAATCATAAAATCTATCTTACCAAGTCATTAGTTTGACCATATTAAAAGCAAATGACTCTTAAATAACTTAGAAATTCTACATTGAATATTTTTGAGTGTTTGAGGATAGGAAATTGCTTATCACATTATGTTTCTATTGATAGATCAGCCATGTCGAAAATCAGTCTCAAAACAACTTATCATTAGATTTGTTGACATTTCAGTGAACAGATTCTCTTAGCTCAACAACAGCAGCAGCAGAGTCAGCAGCAACAGCTGGTTGGGCAACAGGATGTAAAAGAAGGAGGATCTTATGATGTCAATGTTAAAATGGAGCTAGATGATTATAACTCTGACCTCAACCTTGTTATAGATGAAGATGGGCAAGTACTTTGGGTTAAAAATAGATTGATGCCAATTCACTGATAAACATTTAAATAATTTTGAGGAAGAATTGTTATGAAATTGTTATCAAAGATAGGTAACAAATAGACAGGTTGGGATACATGTTTGCTACTAAGTTGCAAATGCCTACAATTTATAAAATGGGGTTTATATTTATTCCCCAATTTAACACTCTCTTTTTGTCCTCTTCATTTTATTGGTAGACCAGCCAGTGCTTCAAATGTGGGGAGTTCAAACTTGAAGAATTTATCTAATTTGTCTTTTTATCTTTTAAAAGTGAGGAGTCAGCTCTGATATTGGGAAGTAGATATTATTTAAACCAACATTTTATGTGCAATACCAACTTTTTTCCATGTATCATTTACTTTTTTTAATTTGAAAAAAGCAAAATCACAAAAGTTTATTGCCCCAAATTAAAACATTGATAATAAACACTGAATTTCATGGTTAAGCTTTGTTGATTAATAAAACATGATCATTGACTTTAATTTTACCCAGAATTTACATAAACAGCACATGTTGATGTAAAACTTAGCTTGGTCCGTTCACTGATTGTTAATTTAATTGTCTATGATAATCAAGTCTCTCAAGTGCTTCATTATGAAAAGTCTGTATTTGCTAACTTTCAGGTAAACCTTGCAAGGGTGTTTAGATTCAGTGAGAAGATACTGTATATGAATCCTTACAAGCTTTCATATCACTGTAATTGGCTTTCACATTGCTATGGAAAAACAAACACAAGACCCCTAATTCATTTAATGGGCATTGTAACTTGCATTATTGTTAATGAAGTGTTAAAAAGCTGATTCTGTGTATGGAAATGTCACTGACTGGCCCATGTCCCACACAACCAATACAGTGACTGCAAACATGGCAGTCTACATGGTTTAAACAGAGACCATCACATGTATCAAATTTAACAAACAATGTTCAGAATTTGCAAAAATAAATCATCTTTGCTTAATTACAAAAGGTAGCAGTGATGAAAGAGGTTTATAGGTGATATTAGAAAAAGGATCAAATTGAGCACTGAATGATACTGTAAATTGAAATGTTATTAAACGTATGATTTCTTAAAGTCACAAATAGGCCTACAAACATGTTATTCTGTAGTATATGCTTCTTAATAGAACTAACAAACATTGATGTAGACAAACTTGATATTTCATGTACAATGCAGAGTGGTTTGCTCTCATGTTTTTTGTTCCTACTACTCTTACATTTATGTATGTAAGACCATGTTTTATGGAGCTGTTTGTAAGAACTGTAAGACCTCGTTTCAGAAAATGCATGGTATGATGGTAAACTTTAATGGGTAGCATGGCATATGGAAATTTTGATGTGTTGTGACTCCAAACTCAGATGTAACAGTTGGTGATTTAGAAAACCATTTCAAAAGAACACTAGGCTATTCTTATTCTGAATTATGTGCTAAAAATGTTGGTCAGGAAAATATTTTGAATTAAGAGAATATTTTTGACAGATTTGGTGCTCAACCCATGGTAAATCCACCAGGTTTCAATTTTTGCTGGGCTGGAGCTAGGGCAACATATGGAGTCACAAGAGGAAAGGTAGGTTGATATCATATTCCTACAAAAACAAATTTGAGAAAAATAAAAAAACAAAAAATTGAACAATGTTCTAGCTTTAAAATCTTTTCTGGCTGTGATTTACAAGTTCAAAATATTTCAATTTCAGTGTGTAGACAGAGAGAGACTGAATATATTTTATAAATAAATATATTACATATAGTAGTTGTTTATTTAAAAAATCATCTTCTCAGTGAAAAATGTGACATGCTTTTGGAATTATTAATTGTAATTTTGTAATTATTTTGCCAGCATTCATATATGGATATCTGTTGTAACTTGTAGGTATATTATGAACTTCAAGTGACTGAAAACCTTCCAACAGACTTTGGAGACGACCACCAAGAAACAAACCCTCATGTTATACGTATTGGATGGTCTATAGACCGATCATCTTTTCAATTAGGTAAAGTTGTAGGAGAGTGGAATTCCTCAAATCTTAAAGAGGAAGGATAAATGCAAGAGGAACAATTTTGAATCTTGCAAATGTTAGATTATAACATGTTGTAACATGCTAAAATAAGGAAAAAACAATTTGAAAAATATTTGCTCGCTTTCTTTAGAAGATGCATCAATTCTATTGAGTATTTTTGTTTTGTTTCAGGAGAGGAGCCATATTCTTATGGTTATGGAGGAACTGGCAAATTTTCTGTGAACTGTAAATTCCAGAATTATGGGGAGCAGTTTGGCCAAGGAGATATCATAGGCTCACTGTTGGACCTAGATTCTCGACCTCCCACCATTTCCTATACCAAAAATGGGCAGTGGCTTGGCATCGCAGCATCATTGCACAATTTTAAAGCAGGAGAAAAGGAATTTGCCTTATTTCCTCACATTCTTTCAAAAAATTGCAGGCAAGTTTAAACTTTTTTTGAAGTGCTCAATATATACCCACAGTCAGTGGTTGTTAACCTTATAGCTCTTCTTAATATCTACAAGAATCTATAATGGAAATTCTGGTAATGCTACTTTGTGGTTGTTTATTGAGACATTGGATGCTTTCACGTAAGCTGTTGGACCAGTTGAACCTGCAAGAAAAACGCCAAGTACAGATCAGGACCAAAGCTGGACTGCAGAATATTTGGTACATGCAGTTTGAGGGGTCCAGTCGTACCTTTCTCCAAAACTAATTTGCCGAATATCATTTGTTTTAAGAATTTCAGCATTAATAGTAGGGTCAGTGCACTCACATATTTCCAGAAGCATCGTGATATAAAGTATGAATGGCATCTTAATTTTAGTGAATGGATTTATGCTTGACTGGAAATTCCAAAACTGCATTTTTAACTTTACACATATCTGGTCCAACATCTGGTATAAGTGCTTTCGCTAATAGTGGAATAATTCCAATAAATCGTTTCAACCAGGTTATGCAAATGCAGCCCAAGCTGTGGTTTGGATTGAAATTGTTTAATGTTATATCAACAGGAATATGATTAAACTAGACAAATGTGTATTGTTAGCAATGCATTTTATATACCAGATTCTATTTCATTTTAGTAATACAAAGAGTCCTTGATGTTGTGAATTTGTTATAATGTATAATCAGTAAGATATATAGGAGGCTCATTATCTCCCCTTAGTCTATACCCACCTAACAGTATATTGACTATATAGCTAATAACAAGTTATTCTTAGCATCTTACATGTATACAATGGATTTTTGTTTACTTTTACTCATAATTATATAATTTCAGGTTCCGACTGAATTTTGGTCAGGAAGGTCCATGGTACCCTCCTCCCCCAGGATATAACTACATTAGTCATTTCCTTGCAATAGATAGAGTTCGAGGCCTTGAAGCACCTGCTAAGAAATCAGATTGTGAGGTAAAAAAACGTGTCTTTATTTCTTCATTTATTGTACATGTAACATAATATCTGTCTAGTGTCATATATAACATCAAAAAGTTGTCTCTTCTAGTAGAGGTTCATGATTCTATCAAACAGAATGGAAGAAAGTGCGTACTGATAGAATCTTCCAGTGGAGGTTTCATGATTCAATCAAACAGAATGGAAGAAAGTGCATACTGATAGAATCTTCAGTAATGTATATGAATTCAATCAAACAGAATAGCAGAAAAAAACATACTGATAGAATCTTCCAGTAGAGGTTCATATGTTCAGTCAAACAGAATGGAAGAAAGTGCATACTTATAGAATTGTGTATGACTTTTTCATTTCATAGAAGAAACAGAAACACATGTAAAACATTTTTATTCCAATCATTAAATTTACTGCAATTATTGAAGAAACATTTTTCTGTATCATAATTACTGTGAGATTGCTTGTCTATTTAATGTCTTCATTGTGACATTATCATTCTTGATATGGCTATAGTTTATGTTATTGATTTATTGTAGATGATCATGATCATTGGCCTTCCTGGTGCTGGTAAAACAACATGGGGAGTTAACATGGCTAAAACTCACACAGATAAACGCTACAACATCATTGGCACAGACACGTTGATTGACAAGATGAAAGTCATGGGACTTCCAAGGAAGAATAATTATCATGGTCGTTGGGATGTTCTCATTGACAAGGCAACAAAAGCTCTCAACAAGCTATTTGAAACAGGTAATGACCAGCATCGTCATCATATATAGAATGAATGCTTCAATTTTGTTAGCCCACCAAATGACAGGCTTTCAGATCGCTCTGCATCTGTCCGTCCATAAACAATTAAATTTTTTATCGCTATTTCTTGAAAAGTATGCGATGGATACTTCTCGAATTGCATATGTAGGTTCTCCTTGGTCCCTAGTTGTGCCCTTTTGATTTTAGGACTGATGAAAAAAACAAAATCGCAGACAGGCAGCTATCTTGGATTTTGACTTTGAAAGTTTGTTATTGCTATTTCTTGTGAAGCACTCGATGGATCTTTCTTAAATTTGATATATAGGTTCTCCTTGGTCCCTAGTTGTTCCAATTTGATTTTGAGACAGAAATCAGAGATCAGAAAAACAAAATGGCTAACAGACAGACATCTTAGTTTTTGATTTTGAAAGTATCTTATCATGATTTCTTGAGAACTGCTGTATAGATCTTTCTCAAATTTCATGTACAGGGTTCTTTAGGTCCCTAGTTGTGCCTATTTGAGTTTGCCGACAGGCAGCCATCTTTGATTTTACCAAGTAAAGATTGTTATTGCTATTTCTGAAAAAGTATTTTTCCTGTTCTGATTTTTTAGGCAAACATAAGTTTAAAATTTCCCTTTACCATGATTGGTATTGCAGCTGATCAGGAAACACAGTTTAGTATGTTTCATCTCTTTTCACTTGTACAAGCTTGTTACTCAGCTTCCTTTACTTTACAATTATATATACAATGCATTCACTGCAAGTGTATATGCCAATACTTATCAATCAGAATTTTTCAAATGACCCATATGTCCCATTTAATCCTAATGAAAACCAAACTGATAAAATTATTATATTTACCGGTACTTTTGAAATTGGAAGATCCATATTTGCAGTTGATTATTTGGTGAATGAAATAAAATAAGATTAATTGAAAATGAAAATTGTGTCTGTACAAAAATATTGTTTTAATCTTAGACTTTAATGTGTAGAAGATAAGAGGACACAGTTGTTCGCATGTTGCTGATTGTTGTTGTAAATTTGTTGTAGGGTGTAAAAAGAATAGGAACTACATTCTGGACCAGACCAATGTATACCCGTCAGCTAGGAGGAGAAAGATGAAGAATTTCAATGGGTTCTATAGGATAGCAGCAGTAATACAACCAGATGATGCAGATTTGCAGCGCAGATCTGAAAAACGGACAGTTGAAGATGGTAAAAAGAAACTCCCAATACATTTTTGTTTTGTAGCATATGGGGATAAAAGTCTGAGTGTTTTTTTTATGTAAAACAGTAGCTTTTACAGAAACGTTTGTCAAGGGTTATGGTCTTTCAAGACAGTAATTGTCCCATAATTGCTAATAAGTTTTTCCACAAATCTCTATGGTATATACTATTCAATATAGCTTGTAGATCCTGGGTTGGGAACTATTAAATAATGGTTTGGGGTGCTCTCTCTAATAGTGAATTCTGGAAATCAATTTCATTCAGGTGTAAATTTACATTCACTGTTAGTTAACAAAATGGTGGCCTCCAAGCAGTCTAAGGTATGTCACCACTTTGAGTTGTAAAACATAACCCTAAAAACCAAATAGGATTGACAATGTCTATGAATTATCAACCGAAATGAAAGCACAGGGTAGATATTTTAATCAAATGGGTCTGCACACCCTGCTGGTGGCAAAACGTCATCTTCAACTCAATAAACTGAAAAATGAAATCCTTTCAATCAACTGAAAATAGTATATCAGGTGGATAGACTGATATTTTTAAAAAAAAAAACTATGTATTACTAAGAAAAATGTAATTCTGCTAAGGAAGTCTAGTCTTCATTGCCAGTCCCAACAACCTTACAATTTTAAAATCATACAAGATGATTAGAATCTATTTGTAGCCATTGTATTTCCTGATTTGATTTTAAGTTATTCAATGCAAGAAGCTGTGAACCAAACATGATTCAATTCGATGCAAGTGATTCAGGATCACTTTTGTCCAAGGTCAAGGTCACAGCTATACAAAATTGAAAGGTCGTTTTTTGGTAAATATAACAGATGTTCTGTGGTATAAGACCAAGATTAAATGGTGAAATGTCAATGTTATTATGGTAGCAATGCAAAACTCTTTCAAGTTTATGATAGGTCTAAGGTCATGTGGAGAGTCAAAGCTGAATGTTACATTTTGAAATAACAAAGCAGTATCAGTGGGAGTTCTCCCATGATATAAGTTAAATTCTAAATTATTTATTCCTATTATTTCTTCTCTATAGTCTGGCATGATCAGAAACTAACTAAATTTGTTGGAAATATGCTCTTTTTCTGCATCCTAGTCTTTTTCATTATGTTCATCTCTTTCTATTCTTACTATTTAATCAGGAAAAATCCTATAAAACAGAGCGGGTGCTCTCAGCTGATTCATCTTACAGTTCAGGATATTGTTTGACATGTTAAAATCATTTCGGACCAGACTACTTCCTTATACTCAAATTATGTTCATTGTGAGATCTATTGTGACATAAACCTAGCTGGTATTATGGTATTAGCTCAGAATGCTACGTAGAATTACTCTCAATGAATACTTCATGAATTTGGTGATGAACATTTTATAATGTATTGATACTTTCAACATCACATTATTTTTACAGGTAAATTTGTACCAGAGTCGGCTGTTCTAGAAATGAAAGGGAATTTCAAACTACCTGCAGAGAATGATGACTTATTTGATAGAATAGATTTTATAGAATTACCTCGAGAGAAGTGCCAAGTGTTGGTGGAGGGGTAAGTATTCATTAAAAAAAACCTCCAGAATATTCTCAGTATTGAAAGGTGCCCTTTGATTTGGTTTGTAACACCAAATGATTTTTAATAATGTAGTTTAATAGTTATATGTGGCGTTGAGTTGTCACAGATTGGTAGAATGCTTCAATGAGTCAGATTCTTGGATGTATGTATATCAGTTCCTTTATTCCAGGTATTCTTGCCTTAAATATCCACATTTGTAGGAGCGGGGTGGGGGGTGGGGGAAGTCTTCGATTACAATCATTACATTTAAAAAAAACAAACTTAAGGTTCCTTGAAACCCAGAAGTTAATTTGTGAACCTCTGTTTGGGGTATCTGATCTAATTATGGACTCTAGAAGGAATTAATGTGAGGATTCTTTGATATATCTGGAAAAATCTTAATTTGAGGAATTAATTTATGATAAAAGCATATGGGCAAATCTTGGATAAAGGTTTAATAGGTATAGTGTTATTTCTTGATGGTATGAAATTTAGTAAATACAACTTGACAGTTTTTTTTAATAATTATAATTAAGTACTTCACAATAATTTTTATTACTATATAGCTTTGTACACAATATTCCATGCTTGAAATATGTAGCATTGCGCTGTAGGGTTGCGAAAATTGGAATACAGCAACTACTGATTAGAAATACTAGAGAAATAGTGCATCCAATCACAAAAAAGTAGTTCTTACTGTGTAGTGTACCAGTGTTGTATATCTGACAACTTTATTCTGCTTCTTAACAGCTGGAATTTTCTTCTTTTTTTTTTAATTTCAAATTTCAAATTTGCAAAATAAGGAAACATCATATATTTCAAAGTTGTAACAGATCATTTGTTGAAATTTATTGTTAATGATGGGAGCATTACTGGAAATATGAAAGGCTGACCCATAAGGGTGATTCATTTGATGAAACATTTGTCACCAGCTTTATGGAAATTTCTCCATCATATTCACTTTCAGCAACCTTCTTTAATTATCTATATATTTAAGTATGTATATAAAGAGTTTACTTGGTATGTTTTTTATGGATATCAGATACTCATGGGATTCAGATCATGTACCTTAAATAAGTCTTTATAGATGTTTCTTTGAGCTTCTAGTTTATAATCAAGCACCTGTTCTGTAACCAAATCACGAGATACAAATTCTCTATCTACCAAAAATGTGTGTGGCTTGATCTGTGCAACTTTAATGACTTTATTTTTATATCAAACACTATGCTTGTTACACGATCATATAAGGTTATCAACTGAAGTCTACAATGGGTATTCCATGCTTGTTACACGATCATATTAGGTTATCAGCTGAAGTCTACAATGGCTATTCCTTCCTTGAATTGGACTTACATTTTCAGATTAACCACAAGACAGATTGGTTTATTCGAAACCTGATATTTCCAATTATGAAAAATACTGAGTCATGTAATATCTTTGTTAGGAGACCAAATTATAATTGTAGACTTAAAAATTGGCCTTTCTTTTGTTACTTCGTGTACTTTCATTGTAGTAGTGTATTTTCATTTTTCTTTCAGTGAAATAAAAGACATGTTTATCATTGTTTTAATAATATGTGTACACCGTAAGCTCTTAGGCTCTACAATCCTCATAAATCTCCCATTTTCTGTTACCTCCTTATCAGTAATTCCATTCCAGTAAAGGTGTGGGAATTGATTAAGATATAGGAAACTTACATAACTTCTCAAAATGTATCATTTATTCTACAACTTTTTCAACAGTTAGCACTTGCATTAAAACAAACAAATTGAATTAAAACAATGTCAGAAGTAAAACAGAAGATATAAATATTGATGGGAAGAGCTGTTCTATGTTTAATTAGCAGTTTGTGAAAATCACTGAATTGATTGATTATGAAATATTTCTTCACACGTTAGCCACACATACTTGTGGGTACATGCATATCAATGAATAATTTTTTGGGTATATGTGGTTATTTTTCGTGTGAAACATACTTCTTTGTCTTTAGTATGTGTTCATATGGGTAGTACAATGCATGTTTGTCTGAATATTTATATATATTGACACTTGTGTGAACTTGTTCTACCATATATACGCAAGTACAGGATATATGCATAGACATCAGTCTATTTTCATTAATGTTACAGAATACTGACATTGATTTTTAAGCTGATTACATACAAATTAAAAGTTTGTTTTTATTTAAATAGTGAATATAATATTTATACCATAAAATTAGAATCAAACATGAATTTCCTTTAGAGGAAATACATGTATTTGAGGTTTAAGGATGCAATAAATTTGTTGAAAGAAGAGTAATGACCATATCTTAAATCTATAATGAAATATTGAGTTTATAAGTATGCTTGTCTGTGTTGATATATATTCAACATAGCAAATGTTTTGCATTATGAGTAGTTTCAAACAGTACTTTCAGTTACAGTTCATTTGATATTGTTACTGCTACAGATTTTAACCCTTGCTGTCAAATATTATATACCATTCATTTCCTATGTCCCATACCAATTCTGCAATGAAATATTTAATTTTGTCCATATTAATCTTAAAGTTTGACAAGAATTAATTGTCTTTAATTTATAGACATTTATTAAGCATTTTGGCCTCTCAAGCAAGTGAGGCTAATGTGAATTGATTGCCAGTAATACTGCTGTGTTACAAGTTCTATCTAATTACTTAAAATTAGAATCTCTGATTACTTAAATTATAATCTCTAATTGCTTACTTCTATCGCTGTCAGAATTGATATTCTACTTTTCAGCCATCCAGAATCAAAATGAATCTGCAAATATATAAATGTTTTTTATTTGTGTGGTTACGATAATTTTAGGAGTGCAGACATCAAGAGTTTTGAAATATTTTTCTCCACTTATAACAGAAGTGCAGTATTTCGGAATAGGTTGAGTCATGATTATGATAAAAAGAATGTTATTGGAGAATTTGAGGTTTTCAGAAATCACTGAAAAATGTTTCACAGCTAAAGGCTTTGGCATATTTCTGTTGGTTCAATGTCACTGTGCATAGATTAATTACAATGTACCCAGGTGTGCATCTTATACATAAAACAAGTTTCTTACATTTGAATAAGTAATATGTCTTCAGATGGGAGCTCTAAAAGAGCCTTTGCCTGAAATGATCATTAGACAATTTTTACTAACATTTTGCATGATAGAAGGGTATAGGCCACACATAAATAATCTGTTGAGAAATACAGTACATCTAATATTTGGGTATTTATACAAATGAGATTGAAACTGATTCATCCCAAATTTTACAATGATTTTTAGTCTGCATGTCTGACCTTCAAACTCATGTAGATAGATACATCAAGTTGAAGGCTGGGGGTATAATAAGGTATACATTCAGCACAGAATGAGCAATTTTAAGATTTTAAGTATGAAACATTACTTGTAATCAGGGAGACAAGGAGGGTCGGAGATAGGACAATTTTACTAAGTTTTACTAAGAAGAGTTTTATCCCAAATTAGATATACAACTAGATAGGTATTTCGTACTTGTGTAATCCACGGTTTCCATGTTTCCACAAGAACTAAAATAATTTCAGAAACAGTAAGTTTTTCTCTTTTTCTTTTCACAATTTCAAATCCCAACAGGTCTAGGTAAATGCACCAAGTCTTCTTTGCCATCATGTTTAGTCTGCGCATCTTCTGTTATTCTTACAATATGTAGGACAAGGGGAGAAATGTCATGATATTTTGACATCTCTTTTCTATATTTTCTTATACTTTCCAATATTTTTCTGTTATTTAGTTACAGGAACAAACACATTCTTGATAAAGACAATTTTTTGTGTTTTTTACATTACATTTGCAGCTGTGTGTATCTTTTGTAGTGTATTGTTTAATATGCATGACAAACAATGGTTGTGGTGTTTCTAGAGAACAACCAAGTCAATGTTGCTTTAATATAAGAGGTAGAACATTATGTTGCGGGAAAATCATGACTGTTTTCTTACAGCTACAACCAGGAGGGAATTGCTAACAGGCCGCCACGGAAGGGAGGTGCAGGAGGATTTGGAAGAGACAATCGACCATTCCAACCCCCAGCAGACCTTAGACAGGTAAGTAAAGGAACAAAGCCAAAGGGAGTGACACCAACTTGGCTTCAATTTTACTCCAGACCTGTTGTTCATCCATTATTCAAATTGGTGGGGTTTTTGTTTGATTTTTTTTTAAAATTTTTTTTTTTTTGGACAGTTACTCACAGATGTTTTACATCATCTGCTTATTTTTCACATTTATTTAGTGTGTTGCTGAATATGTTTATGTGCTCTTATTTTGTTACCAGCTTATTATGGCCATGGGTATTCATGGTATCCTGCATACTAATTGTATCTTAATATATTCATAAAATTACGTCCTAGACGGGTACTTAGGTCTTGGTATTAGATGTCGGTGATCTGTTTCTAGACTTTCAAACTTAAGGGTGATATAACGGGTATTGCACACTCACAGTTGCATGTTTAGTTTGGGTGACTTCTCCACCTGCTTTTATGTGTAATGTGTGCATGTGTGAAAACTTACAGACTTCTGTTTATATGAAGATTACTTATACATAAGTTTTTATGTTGTCCTCTTGTTACATACATTGATACATTAATGTCTATGTTGTTAGTGTTGTTTGAAATGATACAATAATTGTATCAAGTGTGGTATGAGGGCAGTTTTATTTCCTCAATTACTAATTCAATCAATAAATAGTGACTATGAAAATGAAATAAACAATGTAAAGCAGAAGTTTGACAGCTTTATTGATAATTCTACTTCTTGCACACCCAAAACCTATTTTTCTGTTTCAGTTTTAATTTGTGTTTACTTAGCAAATTTGAATATCTAACACACTGCTTCACTGTTGGATATATCAATATGTGATATTTAGTTGAAATTCCTACAGGAATATTACCTTTTTATATTGATATCTCCATATTTAAACCCATGCAATTAGCAGAATATCTTAAACAATTAAATATATATTCAATATGTATAGACCCTGTTTATTTCCCTCAGTGAGATATACAGCAGAAATAGTCAATTCTAGATAAAAATGATTCTTATACATCTAATGACCTTCACCAAATTCTCATTAATGCTTAACATAGGAATCTTAGACAGCATATACAAAAATGCACTGGCCATTTTTCTTTCAGTTTGTTTGACTTTCTGTCCAAGTGTATCAGCTTCCTCTTGGCATGATTTCAGATTTTTTTTTCAGTTAAATTTCTCCCTCCTATTACATCTACTCCACCCCATGTCATTGGTTGTAGCTGGTTTAGACGCTGCTTCTAGCCTTATTTCTGGTGAATGTTGTCATCATCATCATGCACAAAAAACACATGTTCTTTATTTCATGATGAAGATGTTATGAAATATTTAATATAGATATAGCTTGTAGTAGTCAACCAACTACTTATTAAGTATATCTGATATTATGTAAATAATAAACTTATTAGCGACTTATTTTACAATCTTTTCTAAAATTTCACTATCCTTCGTATATTATACACCATATTTGCTTCTTTTTTCATAAATCATCCAGTGTTTCACAAAATGTTTATTAAGTGCTGAGATAGTGTCAGGTGTGGTTCTGTTTAGTTATCAGATTTGATATTAGATTGGGAATTCCATATCCTTTCTCATTCAAGCTGCATATAAATGTGTATATTTTGTAATATTTCATTCATATGTTTCCTTGAAATCCTGTAGCCAAGATAATATATGACCTCTATGATAGTTGCATTATAATTACCTGGATTTTGGTTTTCTAGCTTGAACGTTATGGCCTTTAGAATAACATTCTCATAACCATTTTGATGAAATATGAAATCTAATCCAGTTTCAGTCTTTAGAGTGTTAGATAATATAAAAAAAAATAACTGGGATATGTAATATGTGATTTTTTTAGAGTGATTACATTTCAGGTATCTTATTTCCTCCAAATAAAATAAATTCATGTATAAAATTGCATGCAATAAAAAATAAGCAATTGAAAAATAAGGATTACAAAATAGCAAGACATAATGGAGTAGACAATTCAGAAAATATTGCCACATATTTCAGTATTTCATGTTTGAATAACGTTTATGTATGGGTGCACGATGCTGGTTATAGTAGTGTCATTGTCTCATTCCTCTGTTATACCTCAGTCTACTTTTATGTCTACTACAGTGCAGGTTCAGATTCTTTTTCAGGTTAAAGCGAAGTATTAACAAATACATATTATGACCTTTCAAATGTTGGTTTTTATTAGAGTATATAGAGATTGACGAAGAGTCTGGAATGAGCTATACCTTTAATTGTTAGCTACAAGGAGACAAAAAGATTTCATTGATGTTCTATATCAAATCTGATGATAGAACACTGTGGCAGGATAGCCTTAAGACCATAGATATTATGAACACAGTAGATACCTCTCTAATTTTAGTACATATGCCTCTCAAGTTACAAGCATATTATCATGTATTACACTTATACAGCTTTAATGTATAGTCATACTGCAAAGCATTCTACTGATTAGGATTGGAGGTATTACATTATATTCACATTGTTTCCATTCTCATTCTTACAGTAAAAGTATTTTCTGTCATATTTTGTTGTATGATTGTGGTGATTTCAAGTTGTGGCAAAAGTGTGTAGTTGATCTGTATCAAGCAGTTGTTTTCAGTGAAAGGGGAAATGAGATCTTGTATGATATTCAAATGCCATTTCCATCACTAAAGATTTACCAGGTTTAGAATTTATCCTCAGTGTCAAGGCCCCTTAAATGGCAACTTCCTTGGAATACTATTCCATATAACCTAAGTTGTATTATCATTGGAAACGTAAACATGTATTTTTAAATTCAAATCAGTCCCCACTTCCATTAATGTGCTCCTTGATAAAACCACATCTTTTAATGGACACTAAATTCACTAGTACTTTGGCTAATTATAAAATCCCCTTTTTCCAGACAGACTGCAGCTTAACTTATAATCCACATAATGCTGCAGGGCATTGAAAAAAACGTATATCCCTTAATTTTGATGGTGTTCAGACAACACTGAATTCTGTTTTGTTAGGCATGTCTAGTTGATCAGTATGTCATATCACCTATTTAGATTCTGCTAGTTGTTTAAGGTACTACAAATAGGAGCAATTTTCATACAGAACATCCTTAACAAATTTCAGTCTACAATCTTAAGGCAAAGTTTTGAATCAATGAATATACCCCAGATAGTTTAATATTTCTTACCATAGATTTGATTGAATAGCTTATCCCTCATTCCACCACCATTACTGGTATATTTAGTCCCACTTTTGTATTGTTTTCCCACAATATATATTTTTTTAATAGAATATTGTTGCTGAGTTAAATTTCTAAATTTCAAACTCATTTTTAATGCACATTTGTTGTTGTGCATGTGTACCACTCTCATTGGTAACTTTTTCACATTGTATTGTGTATTTGAGCATCACAAACATTTTTGATCAGCATGTCCTCTTGGAATGAACTTAGGTCTTTATCATTCTCCAGTTCAGTAAAGCATGCAGACCAATCAGGTTGATCTTCAGATCAATTAATTAGTGGTTGCAAACATGACAACATTATAGCAACTTGTCTTATCCCCAACCCTAAATTTTCATCAAAACTAGGTAGGATTTCCATTTGATGTACAGCTGTATTATCCCCTTGACCATGAGATATCTCTTTGTGTATTGGTAAAATCATGTTACATGACTAACTCAGTTTTAATGTGATTCTGTTGACTTGTTAAACACCTTAAGAAACATTTATCACCTTCACGATATTCATAGTAGATTATTTCCTTGTTTGTAATTTAAGTTCTTGTCATGTGATAATTCCTCATTGCACTCACTTATATGTACTGTGGTTTGATTCATATGCTTCACATATTTGGATTGTTATAAATTTCATTTGTCAGGAAAAAAAGATCTGATATATGCCACATTTTTTTGTTTCTCCCTTGGTCATTTAGGTATGTGACAACTTCCATCTTAACATTAAATAATTTCATAATTTGGTAATTGTATTTCTGTCATTTCTGTCTGTTGTTTTTATATAACAGAAGTTCATAGAAAAGTCCAATGTTTTTTTGTCTAATTCTCATGAGCAGTAATAAGGACGTATTGTCAATATTAGATTTCCCAAATGAATGACATACATTTTTTTAAATGCTGATGTAGATTGATCAAAAAAGCAAATTTTGCTGATGTAATGGCACTACCTGTTTAGACAAGTTGTTGAAGCATAAGATGGTGCCTGTTTTCTGCATTGTATATCGACAGTGATAATGCCAGGGATAGGAACTTTTCATGTTCAATCACCAATGCAACAAAAAAATCTTTACAATTGATATATAGCAATCAGTATTATCACAATATAATGTCACCCCCTTTTTAGTTCTATTCTTTCTGAAACAACACATTGAACATATTTTTTCCACTGCTTTCAAAAGAACATGTAAGGCTATGATACTTTGGGTTTTGTGATCTTTTTATGCTACAATGTGTTGTATTCACTGTTACTAGTGTTTACTTAATATGTATTTTAATATCTTAGCACCATTTACTGTTTACTCAAACTCCAGTTTGCCTTTGGAAGTATTAATCTGAGAAGTAATACAAATTAAGATATTTTTGTGTTCCAAACAGAAAGATATTAACAGTAAATTCCTTATTCAAATTTCAATTTTCTAATGGAATGATTCCATAATTTAAACTTTAAAAAAATGTCAGGCATATTGGATTAATTTCATTAAGACATAACATTATGAACACCTGTCAGTACAAGGTTTCAGTTTATGCTGTGTTTTCTTAACCAATGCAAGATATCTCATTTACCTAAGTTGAAAGTTGAAAATATGTGATATGCAAAACTGTTGGTGTTTGTATCCATGTATGAAACATTCCTAGTTTTAATGAGTTTATGGATTTTTCAGGAAATTGTTTAGCATACATGTCATTTTAAAAGATGATGTATTTTAGAATTCATCAGAATTGATACAGTTATTAGTTTCCTAGAAAAACACCCCACTTTCCATAATCAAATGCACAATATTTTGCAAAAAGCTTTTAAACATGTCACAGATAATCCAACAGTGCATTTTACTTTTGTTGGTGTGGCAAAGGTTTACTTACACATTTTTTTTATCCATTATTCCTTTGCATGAAATTAAATGGTTTGTGTTTAAGCATGCATAGATTTGTATTGTTTTAGCATAGATTTGCTGTGAAACTTGTATCAATTGACAGATCACCTGGCCTTTAGTTGACTTGAAGCTTGCCCCAGCAAGGTGTTATTTAAATCATTATAGAATCACATCACTCACATTATTCAATAAAACAAAACTAGTCTTAATGTGACAAAATTAACTACAAAATATTTGACAGAACATGTTGAACTTCTCACATTTTTACAATGATTATATGATACAAATTAATAGTAGCGACTATGTTTATACTAAATTGTGAAATATTAACATTTTCACAATGGACTGTTACAGTCACTAAGAAATCATATTATAAAGCTTTTTCTTTTGCTTTTATGGATGAGACAAATCTTCCTCTTTCTTATGCAAAATGCATGTCATTGACAGACAGATGATCATAAAAATAATAATGTCAGCAATATAAAAAGTACAAAGGTGGGGAAAGACACAAATGCTTGTTAGGTATTAGGCCATTGTAAGAAGTAATATGATAATCTTTATTTAACATAGGAATTGGGTGAAGGTAACAAAGCTTAGTTTCTGTAACAGGAGATATATAAAGAAATATGTTTTAACAAAAAAATCTTTCTTGTTTTTTTTTCAAAATTATGATCTTCAGATAGGTGCATTCTTTTAAGTACAGAAAAAAAAAATTAGAAAACAAAAACTGGAATTTTTGAGAAATAGTAAATAAAAATTCACAAGCGTTTTATTTTAAAACAAACTGGCTTTAGTAGGTAACGTTGGGGATAACCTTTTTTCGCTATTCCTTACAGGGTCAAGGTTACCAAGCTCCTAGTCAAGGTGGTCAGTTCCCTGATCGATACAGAGGTCAGGACCGACCACCATTACCAGGTCAAGGTCGTCCACAGGAAAGTGCTCAATTCAGGGGAAGCTATTCGGCAGAAGCAGCAAACTTTAGAGGTAGGGGTGATCACCATACTTCTAAATCTTCTGAGCCTGCAGAGAAGCGACAGAGGTATGACACAGCAACTAGTGCAAGTGGTTTAGATTTACTTAAGCAAGAGTATGCTGAGGAGGAACAGCCTCAAGCAACAGCTCTCGGTCAGTATGCAGCTCTCCTAGCTGCGCAACAGAGACCACAACAAGTTGTGCCAAAGCAGGAGCATCAGTGGGCGCGGGCTGAGTATGGAGGTGTGGGACTCTATGCTGGGCTGGCTGCTCAAGCTAAAGCTCTTATGGATCAGCAAACCCTACAACAAGGAATACCTCAAGGTCTGCCCCAAGGTTTACCACAGGGCTTACCTCAAGGTCTTCCGCAGGGTTTAGGCTTACTTCCCCAAGTACCTGGTGAACAATCATTGCTTGGGCATCCTGCTGCAGCGTATGCTAATATGCAGCAGTTTGCATTTATGGATCGTGGTGGATTGAGTCAAATGACAGGCGCAGGGTTGATAGCAACTGGAGATCAAAATTTTGTGAGGAAGGCAGCAGTACAACCGCCACCACCTCCTCCAGAACTCGCAAGTGCTGGCGATGTTCTGAGAGGTCAAGGCTGGCAAGAAAAGGATGGCAAGACCCAAAGTCAAGAAGCAGCAGATACAGCAATAAACCGAGACCGTTCAGGTAATAATTCAGCAGATGCATGGAAAAATTCTTGGCAGCAACAACAATCACAGCAACAACAGCATCAACAACAACAGCAGCAGCAACAACAACAACAATCACAAAAACAACAACCCTCTCGCCAACAGGAAGGATTTGGTAATCAGCTGTCATATAACCGACCGGGATCACGTAATCAGTCCTCAGATTCGCAATTTTCACAAAAACAACCCCAACAGAGACAGCACGAGTCATTTGATACTCAGTTTTCTTCTGGAGCCAGACAACAATTTGAGTCGCAGAAAAAGTTCCCACAGGAAAAGCATCAACGCGACTCTTATGGTCGCCAAGAAGAACAGACCACATACAGATCTGACAACCAGACCCAATATGGAGGACAGAAGCAATACTCTGGTCAGAGACAAAATCAGAATGTTGATAATGCCAGGGGTAGACAGCAACCTCAACAGGATAATTTTGAAGCTGATAGAGGTCAGTTTGGAAATTTTGAATCCTCAGATTCAAGGCGTGAAGCTGGTAGTGATGGTGGAGGAAGTCAAGATTCCACGAGTAAACCAAGCTACACAGCAGAGGAATCTGATAAACCAAAACGTGAGAGGAGGAGGCCTAGTAAGTGGGATACACCATCAGATGATGCACCACCATCTCCTACTCCAGAAGGTGATTCTTCAGCTGCAAGCATGGATATGCAATCACAACAGGAAGAAAGTGGCCGTCCTGGTATGAACAGTCCAAGATGGCAGTCCCCTGATAATAAACGGGATTCTTTCCCTTCAAATGATTTTGATAGGCAGCAGGAACAAAGTCAGCAAAATTTTAACGATAACAGGCCTGGTTCTGGTAATCAGCGTGGTCCACCTAACCATGATAGGTCAGGGGGTAGATATGGTATGCAGGATGATCGTTCAGGTGGAGGAAGGGGTGGTTTCGGGGGTGGCAGGGGTGGTTTTGATGGGGGAAGGGGAGGATTTGATGGGGGAAGGGGAGGTTTTGATGGCGGAAGAGGAGGATTTGATGGCGGTAGAGGTGGTTTTGATGGAGGCAGGGGAGGATTTGATGGGGGAAGGGGAGGTTTTGATGGAGGAAGAGGGGGTCATGGAGGTCGCCCACAACCCCTGATGGGAGGTCCTGGTCCAAGAGGCCATCCAGGTCAAAGACCGCCATTCAGAGGCCAGCAAGGCCCAGGGCAAAGATTCCAAGGTCCGGGACGAGGCAAAGGACCAGGTGGTATTGGAGGTCCTGGTGGACCAGGAGGTCCTGGTGGTCCTGGTGGTCCAGGAGGCCCAGGAGGACCTCGACCTTTCAGACCTAGAAATCCATTTGATGGTGGGATGAGAGGCGGTGGAAGACCTCCGTTTGGACAACGGGGAGGATTTAATCAGAGAGGTGGAATGATGCGGGGTCCCAGACCTGGTGGTCCTGGAGGACATTTTAACAGACATTTATAAATGATAATAGCGTTGTCATGCCAATATTTATCATGCATTGTACATAACATACCAATTATGAAATGGTCATTTATTATCACTGTGTAAAAAGTCTTATTGATCTAGAACATTTTAAAAGCGTTTTTATTTCTCTTGTTAAATAAAGATGAAGTTCATTATTGAGATATGTGAGTTCTTTGGAAAAAAATAAGTTAATGAACAGTTTCTTAAATTTTTCTTCATGCAGATTGATCAGAAATTTGCTTGTCAAAACAAATGTTGACAATCTACATTTATCATTCGCCCTTTAAGTGTTATTATGGTCGTTCAGTTAGAAATTACTATTTCCTTGGAAATATTACATTCAGTTGTTTCCATTTTCAGTTTGAGCATGGAAACTATTGTTTAATCTAGGATCTTAGGATGATTCAGACATACCCTTTAAGAATTAAATGCATTTAAGCAACTTCATCCCTCGTTTCTATTTCAGATTTTAAGTTACATATATTTAGATCATGTGCTACTCGAGTATTCAGACAGGTTTAATAAGAAATGCAAGTTTGATTCGCTATAATATATTATTCGTGTGCATGATTCATAAGTGCGGTAATATAGCTTTATACAAATACATTATTTTGGGCAAGCGGGGGTCATTTTCAGCGAAAGACTTGTTTTATTGGTACTAATATGTAGATAGTTCAGTTTGTATGTTATATTCACTTTACTTTTTGTGTGTCCTCGAGTTTTATTTCAGTTTAGGATTTTTTTCAGCTACCCTCTCCAAAATCTGCACTTTTTTTCAGCGTCTTTTGAAATAAATATCATGAATGATCCCTTAATAGGTAATGGTCAGTGATTATGTACTTAAGCATTAACTACACTAAGGGAAAAAACAAATTTGCTATGAAGCACGTTTGAATTTCGCTTGTTTCACTCATAACATTTTGCTAAAGACATTCTTTCTGTATGAATTTGTACATTTCATGTAACGCTTTCTGTATTATGCGTTTTCAGATATATGTGTAAGAAGTAATTCTCTCTATTGTTTGATGTGAACAGCTAATAAATAGTGTCATAGTACATATGTTGTCTCTGCATGAGTATTATGATGATGAATTTGAAATGACATAATAAGTATTGATGATATCAGTTCTACCATAATTTCCCCAAATAGGATCTACCAATGCTCATATTTTATGTTACTACCTTATGTATGTTCTTGTATTGTGTTTTGTGGATTAAATGTAGAAGCTCTTTTATTCTTTCTCGTTACTTTTAAATTCCAGGGTTGGAAGTCATTTATGAAAACATAATACCAAGTATATCAGTCATATATAAAGACCATGAAGGCATCTAGTATTTGAAATGCAAACATCGAGATGTAAAATAGACATGATCCATAGTGGATATCAAATACCATCCATCTCTATTTCAGCATTTCACGGGATGTTTTCTGTTTTAAAGAGTTGCAGCATTTTACTATGCTAGCATGTAATTTGTGTAATATATATATAGAAAGAAGAAAAAACCTTGTCAATCACTAAATTATATTTTCATAAATATATATATATATAATTAGTGGAGTATTTGTTATAGGTGTAGCATTCTGTTGTTTCATTTCAATCACACATATAATTAAACATGGTAGATAGGGAGATAGTAGAACCCAGCTTGTACCTGATATAAAAATCCATTTAATCAACATTCTACGAACACCAACACTACATCATATTAAGATATATACATATGTATTGCCTTTTACTTCGAAAATATCCACTCTTTTCACTTTCAGAATTACACCCATTCAAGCGTGAGACAATCCTTGAGTTAACGAGATAAAAAAAATCTTTTTTAGATGTTATGTCTTAAAACTTTCCATTTTATTTTTCAGCTAGTTATTCGTCCTTATTTAAAGATGATATTCATTTCTAGTTTTAATGTCTCTTGCAATGCTTTCTTTTAAATTAGACTACCATTAAACTACCTTGAATGTTCTACAATATCGCCGATTAACGGATTAATATATCGCTTCCATTCTTGTGGCAAATTGTATGCAGTTTTAAAATATGCTAGAGTTTGTATGATGCCATATATTCACATACAGCTAAATGACACTAAAGTGATCTGAGAGTAACTGCTCTTTTTCAGGAGAAACAATTCTCTTCTTTTATAGAAACATCATCTATAGCAATATCTCCTCGATATGATGATCCGACCACTCCTTCAAGGATTATCTAGGAAGGAAAAAATAAAATTATTCTTATTATGTTTTAAAGCATTTGAACATTAGCTTTACAGGATATCCACACTATAAAAGCTGTATATAAAACATTCTAGAAAGATATTCTTATGACTTAATAAACAAAAGAAAAAGTACTACGTTAAATGATACCACACGCACTGGGATAATCATTTCTGTTCTCTCAAATGATTTAAACAAGGAGCAGTAAACGATTGGTATATAAGATAGAAAAAAAATCGTTCATAAATTGAAAATAAATGATATATATAACAGGATAGAGTTATCATGAAATGATTTAACTTGCATTTCTGAAATATCTTGTTAATGTGATATATTAGATATCTTTATATTTAATTATGACATGAACTTATTCCAGCTCACTTTGAATGTGTTGTATACTTTCATAGCAAAGAAACATAGATGGCTTGATTTCATTACAAATGGGAGTAATAATGAAATTATAAGGCAAGACTACTTCCACACATTTGTACTGAGATGTGCACGGGAGCGGTATAAATCAGAGGCTTTGATAAGCTTGCATGTGCCAATGAAGAGGTTTAAAAATGGTAAAGGGACGTTGATACAGAGTAATATGAAACAAAAAATCGATTATGTATCTATTGTTTGCATGTCACTACAACCGACGGTATTCATGTATCAACGCTGACTCTAATTTTCACATTTGTTTAACTAAAAGCCCCAAGATCAATAATTGAATAGAAAGAAACTGTTACGGGAAAATACCTGTGTCTAAATATCTTAGTGGTTTTCTTTTTATATTCGTGTAACTTTTTCTTTAAATGCTTTTAATCAACTAGTTGATCGAATTCACTTCTTCACATATTAAACCAGAAATTCCTGACAATTCAGTACAATTTATTTCAGCATTCTATTTTATAGCAAGTCTTTTAACACTTAACATGTTTCAGATACCTTTTAACTAATAAACCAACAAAGGCCTTTATACTCACCTGACTTGTTAAGAGAGTTGCTTCTAAAAATATCGAATGAGATTGCCAAAGGTTGCTTTGTTCACCATTTAAACTCCAATACACTGTCTCATTGCCATTTTGATCTTTTGTAATAAGTCGTAAACTCCCAATGTCATTTCCATGCATAAAAAGCCAAAATCTGATGCAATAACCCCAAGGAGTTGGTGGAAGAAATGTGCTTGTCAGTCTGGCTGTGTCAGCTTTAGCTCGTGGGGATGATGCTTCCAAGTAGATGTAGTAACCTGTGGAAATTGTGTACTATTGACCAGCCTACGTTCAAAGTCATAAACAACAGAACAAATATATAACTTTAATAGCTACATAGCAATTTGTGTAGGGTTGAGTGTTTCACTTCCGTGCATATTTCACAATGAATTGTTCTTAAAAGTAGAAACGTCATTTTTAAAAGTAATGACAGGCTGTCTTAGAAATGTAAATTAATTTTAAGTGAAGAGGTTAATTCGTAAATTGCGCTTTGTGATACGACACTGGCAAAGAAATAACTTGCTATTTCATTCAAACACTCTCATTTTTAACGACGTATGATCAATTATCGGTCCGAAATCAACAGCAAAACTTGAATGGCGATCTTTGAAATAAAATTCTTACTTAATTTTATATATTAAGATATATGAAGAGAAGAAAGAAACTGTACATAGAGTTAGGATATGTAGTCAAGCTTTGTAAAAATTGTATCAAAATAATTGTCTCTCTATTAAAGAATTTTCATTATCGCAAAATTAAAATGACAAGTCTTTTAAGAAATACACTAGGATAGTTGAATTCTATAAAAATGTTTTTCTTTGAAACATTTATGCGCCATAAACAAGTAAGTGCCTTTCCCAATGGCTCTTTATTTGTCTAGATATTTATCGTAACAAGTATTTAAAGATTTTCCTTAATGACGAATGTTAATAACGCATTATTTATTTTGCTGCATAAGATCGTTTGAATGTGTTATGTTTTTCTAAATACTATCGATTATAACTTGTAATCTCAGAAAATACGGTTTTAAACAAGTAACAAATTGAGTACACCACCTATACCGATAGGGGGACGATAACTTCCTAATCTGTATTAACGTATGAGTATCTAATGAGATTCACGTTCCATTGTGGAAACCAATATGTGTCATTTCACGGAAGTTTTAACAGTAGCAAACTAGTACCTTATGTTCATATTCATTGCCGAATGTTTATATGACACTCATTTCAATTAATATTTTGGACCATTTCATAGATTAGAGAAAATAAATGTGATTTTGTGTTTCGACTTCATTCTTTTATATGATACCAATTATCATATCATTAGTGATGCATCGTGACATAATAGTCAGACTGAGAGGAAACTTATTTACAATCAAGTACTTAAACCTGGAAAACACCTCACAGATCTTTCATGTTTATGGTTAATTCTTTTAAACACACTTTGCTTCAAAATTGTTGTATATGATTTGTTGTATTTATTTTTAGGAATTTTGCTTATGGAAAAGGAATGTCATTGTCATATATTTCTTAACAGGATAAATACATTTTAAAGAATGGCTAACAAGACTATTTCACGAGATTACGTATTGCTTGTTGCCTTATCACAATATTCACGATCATAATGTAAAACTCGTTGAACCCATTGAGTAGCGATGTTGTCTAGCAAGAGGAACTAAACCCCGAACACTGATATTGTACCAATAATATGAAGGAAGATTAACATCTAAGCGAACAATCGCAAAACTGCCATACTAAATAGTACCAAATTATGCTTAGTAAAAAGGCATGCGTTTCAATATTTTCTGCAAGGTAACTGCAATTACATCCTGATGGTACTTGGCATTATACCATATATTTTCAACAAACTTTTTTTTTGTCTCCGTTACTAACCGTTACCAAAAGTGTGGTCTTGAGTTGGACCTGTTCCAGGGGTATTTGTAGATCCCTTGTGTCTGAGCCAATCAAAAATGTCGGAACTATTTGGGTTTGTCCACGTACAGAAATCATCTTCAAAGTCACATTCTAAAACTGAAACATTGATGAGATACTGTTAGGTCCATTGCAAAGCAAGTAACTATACTTCTATATTGTATGATAGAATTATTTCTTATTTTTGATAAGGGAACATTCAATCGACATTGCGATGCATTCTTGTAGCTCTAATTAGCCACATTGGTAACGTTGTTCATTTTCTGACCTATTTAACTGTGATTTGGATTTTATCCCAATCAATATGGCTGTTCTACATTGGTAACAGTTCCTGTTACTGAAAGTATGCATAAGCTTGGATTAAATTAAGATTGCTCTTCTTTTACACTCTAATTCTAAAAAAAATCATTACTCCAATATCGTTTGCTAATGAATGTCTTTTTCTTTCATTGTCACGTTTTAACATTGCAACATCCTCCCTTACCTTCCCTGCACTTTCCTGATATTAAATCAAAATCGTCGACAGCAATGTCCCCACGGTATCCATGGCCTCGCGTAGCTTGAATCACCAACTTACATAAATATGTTTTTGTTATTATTTATAAGTGCAGTGTTACATCCTTTATTCCACATTCTTGGAGTAAAATTAATATGTATTAAATGTTTTTTTCATTTATTGGTGTGTATCGTCTCTTCTTTAAGTTTACACTATTATGATTAATCGAAAGAAACTAGACTTTGAAGAACACTAACCTTCTCGTTGTTTGTTGTGTTAAATTCTACAGATGCTCGTTTCCATACTTTGCCCTGATTTCCCGTTTTATCCCACAGCAATGTTTGGTTTGTAGGTGTCTTTTTCAGTAGCGATAAAGTCCCTACGCTTTCCCCGTACATATTATAGTAGAAGGAAAAACAATACGACCAATTGTCCTTCAAAGAGAAGAATATTTTGGAAAGTTTATTTAATTGTGCTAGCTTGATAACTAACCAGGATCGTGTGTCAATGTTAAGGCATCATTCCATTTGTATTTACAGAAAACTTTAGATACTCTTTAGGACATGCATTTGCTTATTTTGTGACGTACATATTAGACTGTATGCAAACTTTT